AGCAGTATCCCCGTACTCTGAGTTGGTCACAGACCATGCTGTGCTTACATGGAATACCTGACCACAATATATTGCAAATCACGTTTCATCACTTTATTTCTTACCAGTACAATTTGGATTCTTTGTTGTAGCTGGAAAACTTGCTGGGAAGTAAGCAATATATAATATCATGGTTTTTGTTTTTTTTTGCATTGTCAGGCAATAAATTAATTTATTAAGAGAACCTATCAGTCATCAGTATTGGATGAGTTGCTGCAGTGTACAAGTTACAATGTTATGAGCATCGATCTTATTTATATTAAAAGTTATTCTCCTCACATAAGCCTGTGATACAATATAAATATAAAAATATATACAATATAAAAATAATTGTCATTAGCTGGTAAATTATCTATAAAGCTGATTTCTATTCACTACTTTATTAACTATAGTATATGGGCACTCCGAATTGCTAATATTTCCTTTAAATTATAATCTGTGATGACACTGTGGTGCCTGTGTTGGAAAAGCTATGATGATAATCATTAACATAGTATAATGCAATACTTAAGATTTATCAGGCCCTTATTAGGCCATGAATTACAGCATAATATAATGAAATGCAACTCTATTTCTTCCAATTCAAAATCTAATAAGAGGTTTGTGTCATAAATTACATAAACCTCAAAACAATGCATGGAAATGTGGCTGAAAGTTAATTTCTATCATTATGTTGTTTTTTTGCATGTTCTTCCTGTACTTGTGTAACATTGTTTTTCTTTGTTTACCCTAGATAGTTGGTACTTGTAATTATTTTATTAGCATCCAACTGTATTTTCCCTTTCTTAAGAAGCAGAAATATTTCAAACATCAAAGTTTATTTAAATAGGATACAACCCTTGGGAAATTAAAAGGGGATGCAGTTTGCTGCCAGGATTCTTTGAGAAATACTGTATAACTTGGTTACTGTACTGCTTTATAGAGGTAAATTGAGGATGCGTCTCGGCAGATGGAACAATGAGGAGTGGGAGCAATGCTTTTCAGCTACATCACATCTTTCGACTTGAAGAGATCAACATAACACACAAAGCTAATGTGTAATGTAAATACAAGTTATGTTTTGCATTTTCATTTGTGGATGGAAAACATTATAGCACAAAAGCCAGGAAAAAAATTAAAGTAAAACCTAGGAAGTTCGCAACAGAACACTTCTCTTAATATTCAGTTCTTGTAATTGCCCTCAACAAGGGGGCTGCCCTCTTACCATAGACAGGCAGTGCCCTTGTTGGGTGTCTTAAGGAACACATAGCTTTGCCTCATTCCCAGAGCTCAGATTTCACTATTGCCTCTTGTTATATGTCATCATCTTCTCTAGCTCTTCTTTTTAACAGGTAAAATAGGCGCTTCAAACAGATATAGGTTTGAATCCCAGCTCTACTAATGACTAGCCTTGTAAATCTTGGGTAAGTCTCCATTTTACTAGCTGTAAAATGGGGACAATGATAATACTCTGCTCATAGGGTAGCTGGGATGATAAATGTTATATATAAACATGAAGCACAATAGATGGCACAGAAGAGGTGCTCAAATATTTTAGCAATTGTTGCTACTAATGTAGTAAGTTCTCTTAGGAGGGGATATACATTAATAGGGAACACTCAGTGAGTGGGAGTTAGTATTTCTGATCTGGAGATTTAGAATGTCCATAAAGAAGAAAACGGGCATAAAAAGGAAGTCTAAAAGCCCCAAGAGATAACCTTTTATGCTACTATTTTGCATGGGATGTACCCTCCTCGCAGTTTTATTTTTACATGTTCTTCACTGTCATAGAGTATACATAATCAGATAATAGCTCTCCATCTTACAGAAACCCTTGATCTCTAGTTTTTTTCTTTGTCCTCCTCTTCCCCTACAACATACCAGAATGGTTGCATCAGAAAATTCACCTAATCCACTCATATTCTTCCCTGTTTTGATGGAGACAATCATGAACCAGCAAATAGAATATGAATGGATCAGGCAATAGCCCTTAAAAATCCTTTTTTCTGTCTGCTGAACCTACCCAGAAATGCCCTGATGCTGCTCCTGTGCCTTGGAGACTTCATGCTGCCAGGGAAAACTGGACAACCACAGCTGGGTTTTCACTGTTGCACACTGATCAGTTCTTGCTGATCTCTTTCATTCTCCATCATGATTTTTAAAAATGCTTACTAGTCTCTTCTCATTCTCAGTTAAACCATGCCTCTCACTTTAAGAATTAAACCATTACTCCAGCTTAAAAGGAAGAATTGAGACGATTGTGTATCATCTTCTTCAACTGACTATTCTACTCTCACAAATCCACATATCCCATCATCAATCCTCCCCTCCTTTGCTCCAATTTTAGATAAAGTGTTCTTCTCCTTGTTTCAGGCTGACTCTTTCATCCACGGCTTTCCCTCAGTTTTCTGTTCTTCCTGGATCTTACTCCACGGGTCGCCTCTTTCTTTGCCTACCTCTTCATTTCTTTGCACACTCTCGTGCCATTTCCTCTGTCTGGAAACATGATTTGATCTCCCATTCAAAGGTCTATAGGTCCCCCACAGAAAGCCTGCTGAATCTCACTCCTCTCGTTACATCCATACTTCTTAGAAGAGTTGGCTGCATCCAGATCCTCTGCTTGCTCATCTCATAGGCTCTCCTCAAACCATGGCAATCTCGATTCTGATAACCCTGCTTTACAGAAGTTGCTCTAAGATTATCTGTGTCGTGCCAATTCCATTTGATTTATGATCTCACTGTACATTTCTGTTGCATTTGGCAATGTTGCTTACTCTCCCCATTTTGAGCCCTGTTCTCCCATGGTTTCCCTGACCCCAGACTTCCAATTTCCTCACCTTTCTGACCTCTCCTCCTCTTCTTCAGGGCCTTTTCCCTACACTTTGGAGTCCTCGGCTACACACAGTCTTTGAGTTGTATTTTCCAGGGTGATGGTTTCAATCCACATTAACCATGATGTCTTCTGTATTAGTCTGCCCAGGCTGTTTAATACAGGATGTCTTAAACAACATGCATTTATTTCCTCACAATTCTGGAGACCAAAAGTCCAAGATCAAGGCATCAGCTGGATTGATTTTATTCTGAGGCCTCTCTTCTTGGCTTGAAGACAGCTGCCTTCTCATCATGTCTTCACACCATCACCCCTCAGTCTGTATGCTAATCTCCTCTTCTTATAAGGACATCCAGTGATAAGGGAGCAGGGCCCACCCAAAGAACCTCATTTAACCTTAATAACCTCTTTAAAGATCCTGCCTCCAAATACAGTCACATTCTGAAGTACTGGGGGAAAGGACTTCAACATATGAATTTGGTGGGGAGACACAGTTCAGCCCACAACATCTCCTAAATCTGTATTTCCAGCTCAGATTTCTCTTTATGATGAGGGCTAACTGCCTATTAGACATTTCCCATAGGATTTCCCAAAGAAGATTGTTTGAAATTGACTCCAGCATCTCCTCATTAAACCTATACTTCCCCTTGCATTTCCCATTTCCATTGGCTCATCCAGTCACTAAGGAGTTTTTCCTTACTCCTCTTTTTCCCATATCCCACATATCCAATCAACTCCCAAACACTGCTTCTCAAGCCTGCAAAATACTTTTCAATTCTGCTCTTTTCTCTCCATCCCTACTGAGGCTGCCCTAGTTCAAGCTGCCACCTTCTCTTGTTTGATTATTGCAGAACTCTCTGATCTGTCTATTTCCATTCTAGTCCTGAGTCCATGCCCCATAAAAAGCGCATGAGATCTAAAACCCAAGTTTGACCACATTATTCCCTCACTTGAATCTCTCTAATGGCTCCTTGTTATCTGCAGAATGTGATCCATCTTTTTAATATGGCAAATGAGGCTTTTATAGTCTGGATCCTCCTTAGAGTGGCAACCTCATGTTTTACTGTTGTCGGCTTCCTACTTTTCACTTGAGTAACATGAATCTGCTTTTGGTTGTCTATATATTCCATTCCTCTCTACTCCCAAGTCTTCACCTTTGCAAATGCTTTCCTCTTTGTCAGGAGTGCATCCTCCAAACTGTCTTCCTTACTTTTCTCTCCCTTAATTTTGTCTGGTTAATGCCTACTCATCCAATAAATCTCAAATCAAAGGTAATTTTTTCCAGAAAGCCTTTTTGGAGTTAGCTGCCTCTTCTTTCTTTCCCATAATTCCTTATTCATACCTATTATAATGCTAATAATCGATCTAATTCCCTTACTAGACTGTGTGCCTCTTGAGGGTACAGACAGAATTTATTAATCTTAGTCTACCCAGCACCGCTTGTACCTACACTATGCCTGATACATGACAGGCACCAGAAAACCATCATTTTTTCTTAATGTTGTGTTGTAATTAGACTGTTGTGAAGTTCAGCAGAAGAGGTAAGTCATGGATTCATGTCTTGTGCTAATTTTTCAGTAAGTATATAAATATATTCTTTATTTCATACACAAAGGCGTATGTTTAAATTCTAAGACTAAGCAAGTATACCAAATTCTCTACAGGGAAAAAACAAAGAGTCACTAATCTGAATTAGTGTTTCTGCCTCTGACTTAAATTAGTGATTCACAGCATGATACATTCAGGCTCATTTCCATGTTAGCTACAAACCAGTTCATAGACTATCAAAAGCAAAATGCATGTTTTTCTGAGGAAAGAATTAATCTTCATTTTCTGAAACATCTTGCAGAAATTAATTTGGCAGGTTATTTTACCGAAGGTGTTTATTTTCCCTGATGCTGGCTTTGTGGTTTTGTGATAAGAAAAATAATTGATGACTACCTTGAATTCCTCTGCATTTCTGGTTAGCAGGGCAAAGGCTACATTGGAGAAAATGTTGGGGGAACTGTATGCACTACGAGTTAGCATTAGAATGTAAGCTCCACTATCAAGGAGTTTTGTCTATATTGTGCTCTGCTCTATCCTAGAATGATTTCAGGCACATGATAGGTGCTCAATAAATACTTGTTGGTTGAATAAAGAAAGTACATACCTTGCACCTGAAGAACTTGAGAGATGTCAAATCCTTGGCTGATTCTGACGATAACCACGCCAATCTCAAAATCAAATGCATCACTGAAAGAGGAAGCAAAGCAGTTAGTGTTTTAAATGGCTCCTTTATCCTCAAGTGTTGGACTAGTATTAGTCTAGGATCACTTACTTCTGGGATTTTCATATAATGAAACTATTTTTTTTTTTTTTTTTTGAGACGGAGTTTCGCTCTTGTTACCCAGGCTGGAGTGCAATGGCGCGATCTCGGCTCACCGCAACCTCCGCCTCCTGGGTTCAGGCAATTCTCCTGCCTCAGCCTCCTGAGTAGCTGGGATTACAGGCACACACCACCATGCCCAGCTAATTTTTTGTATTTTTGGTAGAGACGGGGTTTCACCATGTTGACCAGGATGGTCTCGATCTCTTGACCTCGTGATCCACCCGCCTCGGCCTCCCAAAGTGCTGGGATTACAGGCTTGAGCCACCGCGCCCGGCCTAATGAAACTATTAAAATCCACTTTAGAATATAGCCAAGAGCTAATGCATTTTTATTTGTTTGTTTGTTCTTCCCCTATGCCTTTTTAAAGTATATTTTGGGTAGAGGTAACTAAATCATTCACTCTAGCCAATTTGTTCAAATAATACTCTAAATCAGAATTTTGATTAGGAGCTTGTCACATCTTTTAAAAATAATCAAATCTTTTATATAGTGAGCAAAACAATCACTGGTATATTTAGACCGGAGAGTTTACAGACAGCAAACAGTCTTTGGAATGATTAGCCACCACCCCCAACCTGGCTGCCTCCCAGAAGGACTCCTATCACATTTCTGATTTCAAGTTCATGGTTAGAAATGTCTCCAGTTCCACTAAAGAATTTTCAAAACTGACTCTAAACTCGCCATTTGAAGCAATGCTGTTTCACGGCAACCCTATATACTGACTCTTGTGCTTTCTCTGTATTCAACCCAAATGAATTAAATTATCTAGGAGAGAAAGTCTGTCTTTCTTTTATCTCTGTTTGAAGAGATAAAACTTGAAGAGATAAATGTTTTCTCTGGTCCTAAAAATGGAAGCAAGCCAATTAATAGTTTCAGCCATTTAAAATTTTTTCATTGGGGGTCCTTTGTACTTCTATGGATCTAAAACTTATGAGTCCTTATCATTAGGTCATCCTACCCCAGAAACAACTGTCCCACCATACAGTTTCCAATGGCCACAGTAAACCTGAATTTTCATTTGGTATATGTAAGCTTGGTGCAATATGAATATCCACTCAAAATCCAAACCATAAATAATCTTTACTTAAAAGAATAGTTTCATTCTGGCACAAGCTGTCACAAAGTAAATTCCTCATAAACAAATCTTGTTTCTGATTGTTTTTGATTATAAAAAGTAGGCAATATGCTCCGCCAAAAAAAGTTTGGATTCTGTATGAGGCAGAATAACGTACTCTCAAAGTGTCCTAATTCCTGGAACCTGTGAATGTATTTCCCTACATGGCAAAAAGGACTTGGCACATATGATTACGTTAATAACTTTGGGATGGGGAGATTATCCTAGATTACCTGGATGGGACAAGAGTAATCACAAGGGTACTTAAAATGACAAGGTGTAAGAGGAGGTCACAGTAATGTGATGTGAGAGGAACTTGACCAGCCATTGCTGGCTTTGAAGATTGAGGAAGGCATTCCTGAGCCATACCCACATGAGGGAAGCTTTGGGAAGCTGGAAAAGGCAAGGTCAGAAATGTATCCTAGAGCCACCAAAAAGGAATGCAGCCTGGCTCACACATGCCAGACTTCTAACCTACAGAACTGTAAGATAATCAAGTATTGTTTGTTTGTTTTTTAAAGACAGAGTCTGGCACTATCACCCAGGCTGGAGTGCAGTGGTGTGATTTGGCTCACTGCAACCTCTGCCTCCCAGGTTCAAGTGGTTGGAATTACAGGTGTGCATCACCATGCCTGGCTATTTTTTGTATTTTCAGTAAAGGTGGGGTTTCATCATGTTGACCAGGTTTGTCTCAAACTTGTGACCTCAAGGGATCTGCCCACCTCGGCCTCCCAAAGTGTTGGTCTTACAGGTGTGAGCCGCTGCGCCTGGCCTAAAGTACCATTTTAAGCCATTAAATTTGAGGTAATTTGTTATGGCAGCCATTGAAAACTAATACATACAGATTCTAATTAAAATTAAGCCATACTTGGCTGGGTGAGGTGGCTCACGCCTATAATCCCAACACTCTGGGAGTCCAAGGCAGGCGGATCACCTGAGGTCAGGAGTTCAAGGCTAGCCTGGCCAACATGGCAAAACCCTATCTCTACTAAAAAATATAAAAATTAGCTGGGTGTGGTGGTGTGAGCCTGTAGTCCCAGCTACTTGGGAGGCTGAGGCAGGGGAGTTGCTTGAACCTGGGAAGCGGAGGTTGCAGTGAGCCAAGATCATGCCACTGCACTCCAGTCTGGGCAACAGAGTGAGACTCCATCTTAAAAAAAAAAATTGACCATCCTTAAGAATATTACAGAAATTTAAAATCTTTTATTCAAAGAAAAGTGGTAAAACACTGTAATCTTATAATAATACCCCTGTGTTAACAATGCTACTGTGCTTTAAGTCATAAAGACACAAAAATTGGAAAGGGAAATGTAATATGGATACGTGATTGTCATTATTAGTCCTAGTACTGTGCTGGTAAAGTCATTTAACTTTACCAATACAGATAGGTTTTATACTAGTACAAATCTGGGCCACCCTAACACTGAACTTTATTACCAAGGAGACCAATTATAAATTTGTTGTAAAAGCCAAAGGCCTTCTTGGTTCAGTATTACTGGGTTTGATTATTTTGCTCCCTTTGCATTTCTAGAATGTTTGGGATGGTAGGGAGGTTGGAAGACAGTCCCAGGTAATTCTTTTTTTTTATTTTTTATTTTATTGCATTTTAGGTTTTGGGGTACATGTGAAGAACATGCAAGATTGTTGCATAGGGGTCCCAGGTAATTCTGTATCAAATTATGGGCTGTTTCATTGTACACATTTCTTCCTATTTGTTCTTTTTCTCCCCTCCATCCCTTTTGTTCCCCAAGATGAAGAGAAATTTTACTGAAGAATCTGGATTAACAGAGAACAGATCTGGTTAATTTCCAAGAATGTCTGATCAGCAACTGACTATGATTCTAAATATATCAAAATACTGTTTGCTGAGCCTGGTAAAATTCTGATCTTGATCACTTGGTTTAGTCTTAACTTACTGAACTTACAACACCAGCAGGAGCCAGATGACAGCACGTGGTACCCAAGCTGTATATGTTTTGAGAAGCACAATGCACTTAATATATACATTCCTTACATTAGAAAGACTGTTGGTGAATTTTTGTTTGTTCAGTAATTCCTGTACTTTCAGAAGATGAAAGTTATTTCTTATGCTTCCTTTCAAGAAAAACTAAGAATGCTTTTGTTAGTATGTTGCATAAATCTGCTCAATATAATGGTAAATGTTATGCTTATACTAACAAGGGGTAGAGGAAATGGCATGCTATAAGAAGGGCTAAGCAAATACTTGTTTTACATGGCTAGGATGGACTTTTAAGTGCAGCTGTATCTCTCAGGGCATGTCACATACCCTGTGATCTGAAATCAAACCACAGCCAGATCCCAGACACAGGAAATCTTCTGTTTCCAGAGATGTTGACACAAAAGATGGCTTTGGGGCATAGCTAACATTGCCCCCCTGGAGTCTGATTAAGTATTTTCAAGCCTAGAAGAAATGCTCAACTTTCTTTGCTTTTCTTTTTTTTTAGAGATGGAGTTTCACTCTTGTCCCCCAGGCTGGAGTGCAGTGGCATGGTTTCTGCTCACTGCAACCTTCACCTCCCATGTTCAAGCGATTCTCCTGCCACAGCCTCCCGAGTAGCTGGGATTACAGGTGCCCACCACCATGCCCAGCTAATTTTTGTATTTTTAGTAGAGATGGGGTTTCGCCAGGCTGGTCTTGAACTCTTGACCTCAGGTGACCCACCTGCCTTGGCTTCCCAAAATGTTGGGATTACAGGCATAAGCCACCATGCCAGGCCGAAAGTCTCAACTTTCTGCAATGTTTCTCTCTGTATGTGTAGAATTTGTTTTCTCTTATCCAAAGGAAGGAACCAAGCCAGGTAATACTTGGAGTATATATGTATATACATATACACTGGCAATGTATATACATATATTCATTACTCCAAGTATTATGTATATACATGCATATACGTATATATATATATACACATACCCATGTATATACATATATATATATTCATATATACATATATACATATCTATTCCAAGTATTACACATTACATACTCCAGGTATATACATACACACACATACACACAGAGTTTTGGAATATATATTACATATATACTCCAAATATATATTATATACTTGGAGTATGTAATATATAATACTTTGGAGTATATAATATGTAATACTTTGCAATATGTAATATATGGTATATAGTATATAATACTTGCTTTGGAGTATATAATATATAATGCTTTGGAATATATAGTATATAATATATAATGCTTGTTTTGGAGTATGTAATATATACAGAAAGCACAGCATTATAGTCATGAGTTTCAACTTTGAATTGGGATAGTCCTGGTTTGGAATTCTAGCTCTGTCACTAAATGCACACTAGTTAATTTTTAACATCTATGTCTCCACTTGAAGAACGGAAAAAAATAATAGTAATTCCTTCAAAATCTTATGTGAATTAAATGAGATAATTCATGTTTAAGACATTAGCTTGCTTCCTGCTAGCTCTTTAAGATCTATCATTATTACCTATATCCTAAGCCTCCTCAAATATTTAGCTGTTAGATGTTATGTACCATCTGAAACTCACATTCTGAGCACAAGCCAATCCTACTCTACCTGATAGCAGAAGCACTTGGCATATGGGAGGCTCTTAGCAGACGGAGATATAGGGCTCTGGATAGTGAACGAATTATCGGAGGCTCAGAAGAAGACAAGGACTGAACTGCAGAGACACCAGCCAACCCAAGATTCCAGGTGTCCTGAAAGAAAAATTTCTCCTTGCTTAGCTGTGCTTTGCTTTTAATCTTGTAAATAGATTTTAAGGTTGTAACTCTAAACATTTACCTTTTTCTCTGACACTGGTATTTCTCCCACCCTGCCTCCTCTGACACTCTGATTCCTTCAAGCTGTATTATTGGTGGTGTTTTTTTCACCTTGGGAAAGAAGTCAGAGTACCAGGAGAATGTGCTCTTCTCAGGCAATTTAATCTGACACAACAGTGTTATGTGCAGTACAAGTTATGTACTGCCCCGGTTAGTGCTTTATAAACAAGAACACGTCTTGAAAGCCATCACTTACTGTATGATTCCCACGTAGTTCTCAATCTCTGTCAAGGGAGCTTTCCTCCAGTTTTTCTTATATCCAATCACCAGAGTGTTTGGTTTCATTCTTCCTAAGCCTGAGGCCTAAACAGAGGACATAAAAACATGGGCAACCCTTACCGCACTGGAAAGCTACCAGCACAAATGAAAAATAATGTCTAAAGGAGCTCTGAAGTAATGTTCTGAAGATTCTGAAGATTAGATTACATTTGGTGCATGTCCTTCATGCCCGTACCCAAGCATAAAATAGAAAGATTAATTCTAAATCATCTCAGCTATAAATGGATTTTAGATGACAGAAATGTAGCTTTTCTAAATTAGCAGTCATTTGCATTTCTTTTGACACACTCATTAAAATGGTTCAATAATTTAAAATCAAGTGCGGGTCAGCTTAACTGTTGGTATGCATGTTGTAACTAACTTAGTGGTTCAAAGCTCATTCCCACCTGTTATACCCATAATGTCATTAGCAATAAAATCCATGTTTGGAAAATTCTTATGTACAAGGATCAGTGAAATCTCTACTTATGTTATTTATTGAAGAGTGACTGAATTATGTTTCCAAAACCTAATTCTCTTATGTGAAAGTATCATTAATAGCCATCTTCCATATCAGAAGTGTTGTCTCCCTTCATTAGATGACAGCTTACAGCTTCCAGTTAATCAAATTTAATTCAGCGACATTACTAAGCACCAATGACTTGCATAGTGCTCTGTTAGGTTTGGTGGGAGAGTGTTGAAGCACATTCTTTGGCTTTATGGAACCAAACATGGTGAAGAAGACAAGATTTACACAAATAATGCTAATATACATGCACATGTAATAGAAACTCATATAGAAGAACAAAGGAAGAAAACTTGAATTTTAGGTGAGGATTCATGGCCAGCTTCATGGGAGAGGCAGTATTTCAACTGAGTCTTGGGAGTTGGTGAGATGTTGGCAGGTTAAAACGGGAGAGCAGCCGGGCACAGTGGCTCACACCTGTAATCTCAGCACTGTGGGAGGCCAAGGTGGGTGGGTCATTTAAACTCACGAGTTTGAGACAAGCCTGGTTAACATGGTGAAGCCCCATCTCTACTAAAAATACAAAAAATTAGCCGGGCATGGTACTGTGTGCCTGTGATCCCAGCTGGTCCGGAAGCTGAAGCAGGAGAATCGCTTGAAGCTGGGAGGTGGAGTTTGCAGTGAGCCAAGATCACACCATTGCACTCCAGCCTGGGCTGCAGAGTGAGACTCCATCTCAAAAGGTTTCGAAGATCGAAGAAGATGGGGAAGAGCAGTGGGAGTAATGGAAGGTAGTTCTAGGTCATGGGAAGAGTGAAAGAAGTTCCAGAGCTGGACATTTTAGAGGGAACAGTAGCAGGTGGAAGGAGATAGGCAATGAAGGAGGGATCCTGAAATAAACTTTGCCTCCAATACATTTGGTGTATTGTTCTTGGCCCAGCACCTTCCTGGAGTCCTCATTTGGCCCTTGGCAGATGTGTGGCAGTACAGATGGATGTAGTCTTTTCCACGGCGACACTCTTGACTAGTTGGTAATTTGTATCATAACTTCTTAGATGCAAAGATGATTTTACTCAAGATGATGTAACTGCAGTGCTTCCTTTCATATCACTTCGTCTTGTCCTTTTGCCACAGCTCCTCTGTACTTCACTTTTTATGTAAGGAAATTCATGTGAACATATGCATGTTGGAATCTTCTCTACCATTTCTTCTGGATTAACCTAAGAATTCTCTTTCATACCTGTGTCTTTTCTTTCTCTGCTCTTATTTTATGTCTGTATTCCCATTCCTAGTTGAAAATTTTATTTTACAAAATTTCTATCATAATTTTATAATAAACGACTAACAGTGCCAATGTATTTAACCAAAGAACTATTGAAAACTAACTTGGGGCTGGGCGTGGTGGCTCACGCCTGTAATCCCAGCACTTTTGAGAGGCCAAGGTGGGTGGATCACAAGATCAAGAGATCAAGACCATCCTGGTCAAGAAGGTGAAAACCTGTCTTTACTAAAAATACAAAAATTAGCTGGGCGTGGTGGCCCAGGCCTGTAGTCCCAGCTACTGGGGAGGCTGAGGCAGGAGAATTCCTTGAACCCGGGAGGCGGAGATTGCAATGAGCTGAGATCATGCCACTGCACTCCAGCCTGGTGACAGATTGAGACTCCATCTCAAAAAACAAAAACCACCACAACAAAAAAAACAACCTTGCTACTGAAAGAAAAATCAGCATCTTGCAATAATACCTGTTTCCATGGTTTAGCAAATTAATAACAAATGAAAAGCGGCTCATTGTGGGTAACAAGTTTTGCAGAAATGGTTTCTCTGCATGTGCAGCTACTTCACAAGTATTCTTAAGGGAAATTAGACACAGGAATGCATCAAATACTCTTAAGCTTCAAAATATTACCAATTAAGCTTAACCAATATTTTTTCTTTCCTGCCTGCATGTGCATCTGAATTACCTGGATGCAGTCCTGACTTCTGACACTCTGAGATATGGTAACTCTGAAAGCCAAATGCACCATTTCCTATACATATAATTAAGGGTTTTCAACCATATTAAAGCCAAAATGCTTAGCAAGCCAAGCTCTACAATTTCTGAGAATCTCTTGGATTGTTTTAAGGATTCTCTGTCATTCTAAATGATGATGATCAGAACTACGAAAAGATTTTATGTACTAATAAAGAGGAGATAAAGGAAGGAAAAAAGGAAGAAAAATAAAGGAGAAAAGATGGGAGAACTGTGGGATTTAAGGTTGAGCTGTAGAGATTATTACATTTTATTCAACATTCTGAAAATAATTCAGAAGGATAGGGAGATTTTATGCCCAGATCACCATGCATTAATTTAGTTGGTCTAGCAGCTGCCCTAACACCATTTGCAAAAGAAAAAAGGAAAAGAAAGCCTGACTTGAGCATTGCTATATGCAGTATGAGATATAAAAATAGTTTGAAGTTTCAATAGGATCCTGAATGTCGTCAACCATCGGAACAAATTTGCATTTCAATAAGTACGGGGGCAGAATGTATGCTGGTGGCCAAAGGCAACCTCATTTTCCATTTCCAGTGTATCATTCATAGTTTATTGTAATAGAACTTCTCTGCTTTTGTTCTAGTTTTGCCTCTACCCAGGAATTCAAAATAATTCCTTAACCATCTGCACTGATCTCTGATGCTGAGCTGCCTTCCTACAGCTGTTCACTTTGGGAGCCTCATTAACACGGAGCACTGACTGTCTTTTGCCTCTGTGCTCCATCTCTCAATGCAGCCTTACCTGAAGGAGACTTCGGACGCCATCCCTGAAACAGTCTGCTGCCACTGCAGCATAAAAAGCCTTGATTTTATTCTTTATAAGCCAGGCCTGTTTTTTCCCCATGCCACTGTTCATCTCCTTAACACACAGCTTGCGCGGTCCCTGTGCGACACAATGAAATATTGGTTAGAAGCCCTGCTATTATACATCACGTTGCTGTTGTTTTCTAAAGGACAAAAATAGCCAGCAATGCCCCATTGAGTTAAGAAATGGGAAAGAGGGAAAAACACCTCACTGGACAGGGTTCTGCAGATTCAGCCTTTTGGATAGGACCTATGCTATTCACATCACTCATTGTCTACCCAAAATCTAGACTTATTAACATCTGCTTAATTAACTGCCTGCCACTGAATGAAAGGAAGAGCTGAGGGCATCACGGCACATGAGGAAAATGCTGAAAATGTGACTGAAGAGGCTCAGGATAAATAATCAACCTTTGACTCATTAGCGAGAGCTACTTTTAGGAACACCAAAGAAATCTCAGCTGGAGCCTAATTTCAAGAATGGACTGCCATGAACTGCACATCGTGACAATTTTATTTGGCCGATGCGTGACTTTTTTGTTGGCAAAAATACCCTTATACCACATTTTCCTGGTAATGTTGCCACACTTCCACTCAAATACATTAACATTTCCTTGTCATTCAATAAATTTGGTGGGAACAAAATTTACACACCTATGACCAAGAAGAGTGGAAGAGATTAAGAGGGAAGAAGGCAGGTGTTGTGGCCGCTGATAAAGCATTTTATAATTTCAAGATTTAGTTCTGGAAACTCATTTTTAATGAAAAATTCTATTCTTATTTCTCCTTCCTTAAATGTCCAAGCTAACTCTTTTCTTCTCATGTTGTAATTCAATCCATAAGGTATTTCTGACTATCTGCCATATGTCTGATAGAGTATGAATCCATTTTTCCAGGAAATTATTTTAATTTATAGAGAGATATGTATTTTGTTGAGATGTCTTAGATTTTACATGAATCACTTTGGATGTTGATAAAATGCAGCCTTGTAGGTATTGAACTAGGACTCAAGATTTTGCATTTCTCATAAACTCCTGGAGGGAACAGATGCTGCTGCTCCTTAGACACACTTGGAGTCACGGTCTCAAAGGATCTCAGATTGGAGAGAGGACATTGGGATGCGTGGAAAAAAAAAAAAAGCCCAGGCTTTGCGGTCAGACAAAACTGGTCTCAGATCTAAGCTTGAGGAGGTAATTGATTATCTCTGAGCTTTGATATCTTGTTCTGAAAATGAGGATAAACTCTTGCTCCTGCAAGGTTGCTTTAAGTAGTAATAATAAAGTACCTAGTACAATGTCATCAAAGCCCCAGCTAATTTCACCACTGTGCTTGTTCTCTAACACAGTTGCAAGAACACTGAACTGAGAGTCAGAATGTTGGGTCAGATCTGGCACTGGCTGGGTGACACTCTGGGTCTGTGATTTGTCCTGTCTTGATGTATGTTCTACACTTAAAAACTCAGGCAATCGCCTAGGTCATCACTGCCTAATACGACAGCCTGTATGTCCATGCTGCTATTAAGCGTTTGAAATGTGGCTGGTTCACACTGATACACTGGAAGCATAAATTACACAATGGATTTCAAAGTCTCAGTACAAAAAAGACTGAAATATCTCATTAATGTTTCTATATTGATTCCATACTGAAATTATAATATTTTGGACACAATGGGTTACATACAATATTATTAAAAATAACTTTGCCTATTTCTTTTTTCCTTTTTGAGAGAGTCTTGCTTTGTCACCAGGCTGAAGTGCAGTAGCACAACCTCAGCTCATTGTAACCTCTGCCTCCTGAGTTCAAGCAATTCTCCTGCCTTAGCCTCCTGAGTAGCTGAGATTACAGGTGCCCACCACCACACCTAGCTAATTTTTGTATATGTAGTAGAGGTGAGGTTTCACCATCTTGGGCAGGATGGTCTCAATCTCTTGACCTCGTGATCTGCCCACCTCGACCTCCCAAAGGGCTGGCATTACAGACGTGAGCCACCATGCCTGGCCTCTTTTTTTCTTTTTAATTGGCCACTAGACAATGTCAAATCACATATGTGGCACATAATATATTTCTATTACACAACACTCAGTCTCTGGGGTCCTTTCCATTTTAATATTCTATTTAAATTGAATCAGATTCTTTATATTCTTACTTTTTCCAGCATATTTCCTAGAACCTGCCAACTTTTCACAACAGTTTGGCTGACTTCACATTACAGGAAAATTAAAAAACAAGAAACTTCCCTGAAGATAGAAAAGGTAGAGAGATCAGGAGAATAGTTACTAAACTAGATGACCTTGTCTGAGGAAGGCTATGCCCTTATGGATCAATTTAGCTAAGGTTTCCAGATTGTCAATGCATTTCGAATCACTAGTCCTTCTTTGGGCATTCTAAACTTCATCAACTGCTGAAGAAAGAAAGAATATTTTATTCAAGGAAGTTAGAAGAATAACAAACAGAAAAGGCTTTGAACCATCAGTGTAGTGAGTTGTACTACAGTGACTGTGATCCCCTGGGGAGAATGGCATTTATTTAAATAAATGCAGTCTAACGTATGTCTACTGGTATTATAAAAATCCAGATTAAACATTAATTGTGACAGAGAGATTTACTTTAATGCCTAAACTTGCCATATTGAGAAGTCATAAAAACGTTTCATGCAGAATCTCTCTTTGCTAAAAACGATTATAACATCATTGTAGCACACTTATTAATGCAAGGCAAGGAAGGCTACAATACAAATGTAGTAAAAATAAGCAAACTAACAAAGAGAAAAGACGCACTGGAATACAATTATTCAACATTCAAATATGTCATAGTTACAAAAATGAATTTTACTACCCCTTTAGAATATTATAGAGATTAGCTTCAGTTGGGATCCAAAATATGAGTACATAAATTAATTCAAGATTCAAACAAAGAAGCTTTAAAAATCTTGTGTATATTATAGCTTTGATATTAATTGAGGAAGGGGTAAAGCGTTTCTAATTATGTAGCGTGGAGAACTTGATGCGATGTTACTTTAAATACTGTAAGTGACTATGATGAAAAGGAGTTTGTAAAGGAGTTCTGACCCCATTAGGATCAAACAGAGAAATTTGCCAAGTGCAATATTTCTTCCTACTTTTTTCCTTAAACATTGGAAGTCTTATTTGTCTGTCTTCGTTTTCATGGCTGCTTTGGTTGGGAAGGAACATTTTTTCCCTTTCTGATTTGCTCCATATTATCTTTCTACGCAGGCTGGTGCCCATTCATAGGTTATTTCATTCTTTCAATATTTGGTCATGTCACTATTTTACTGACATCATACCAGAGGCTTACTGACAAAAGAAGAATAAGATGCATCTAGAAAGAATACATTTTTTCCTTGGTGGATGTGAAAATTGAGATTAAGAGGAGGTTGAAGATAGAAGAAAAAATGAGATTTCAGTTTTTCTTGGGTTATATGGGCTTGAATTGTCTTCCTTATATTGTAGAGTTAAAAGGTGGGTGTCTTCTATGAGATATGTTGAGAACTCCTCAAACAGAGAATTTAAAGAGAGCTTTAGGTTTTCTTAAGATACTTTATAAATTTTTAGAAAAGAAAAAAAGAAAAAGAAAAAGAAAAAGAGAAACAGGGTGAAATTCTAAGAAAGATTCTACATGAGAAAGCCAGTCAAAGGTTGTCCCTTTCCTTCATTACAGGAGAGGAAAATCAGGTTTAAAGTAACATTAATGAGTAGGAAAAACATGAATGAAAATAGGTTACATCTTGGTATCCATCTGTGAAATGATAAGAATACTCATAAAATTCAGATAACATTGCCTCTGGGGACAGAGAGAGTCAGGGGTCTGGAGTGGTTTTAAAAGGGGCTTTAACTTGATCTGTAATGGCTTATTTCATTTAAAGAGTGAGTGGAAGGCAAGATGCAGTGGTTCATGCCTATAATAGACTTTGGGAGGTTGAGGAGGGCGAATTGCTTGAGCCCAGGAGTTCGAGACCAGCCTGGGCAACATGGCAAAACCCCATCTCTACAAAAAATACAAAAATTAGCTGGGTGTGGTGGCATGTGCCTGTTGTCCCAGATACTGGGGAGGCTGAGGTGGGAGGATTGTCTGAGCCTGGGAGCTCAAGGCTGCCGTGAGCTATGATTGTACCATTGTACTCCAGCCTGGGTGACAAAGTGAGACCCTGTTTCAACCAATCAATCAATAAAATAAGATAAAATAAAATAAATAAGGTGAGTGGAAGCATCTGTGGCCATTTTTTTTCTTTTTTTTTAGGCAGGGTCTCACTGCATTTGGCCCAAAATGTTAACAGTCGTTAATTAGGAAATGTAGACTATGAATTAAAGGTCTTATTTAATTTTATATAGTGAGCCATATGAAACTGCCAGTATCTAATGATTTTGATCTATAAAAATGCAAATTTTATATGATTCAACCTAATTAATTTTTTTAGTGTTTCAAAATTAAAAAACAGAATCAATCTTTAAAAAGTCTTATTTCTTTGGCCACCAGAACAACACAATGTACTTGATAAAAGATGCCACTGTAGACTTGAAATCCTTTTGCAAGGCAAGACCAGCAAAATTTAGAAAAGAGGTAAGCGGGCTGGGCACAGTGGCTCACGCCTGTAATCCCAGCATTTTGGGAGGCTGAGACAGGTGGATTATGAGGTCAAGAGATCGAGACCATCCTTGCTAACATGGTGAAACCCTGTCACTACTAAAAATACAAAAATTAGCTGGACATGGTGGTGTGCACCTGCAATCCCAGCTACTTGAGAGGCTGAGGCAGGAAAATCACTTGGATTCAGGAGGTGGAGGTTGCAGTGAGCCAAGATCATTGCACCACTACACTCCAGCATGGTGACAGAGCGAGACTCCATCTCAAAAAAAAAAAAAAAAAAAAAAGAAAGAAAGAAATAAAGAAAATAGGTAAGGGGCATATTTTTGGACAATAATGACTTTATCTTTTCCAAAACCCAGATCAATGGAATCAACTTTCAATTGAGTTAACTTTTGAACCTTAAATGTATACCTGTTTTTTATTTGTTTTAATAAAAAATTCCTATTTTTAAATGTAAAAATAGAAGTATTAAGAATGAGGGACTGCTGCAGTATGATGTCTTTGCACATGGGAAAGGAAGTGTGAACGGACCCCACTTCTAGAACTGAACACAGTGTGCCCAGAGAATTACAGGTACATAAATTCAAATTAAATTATCTAGGATGATTGGTTTGGATCTCTCTCCATCTACTATGAATGACATAAGTGAGGAAGCTCACTGACAAACACAGTGCTTATGTGTGTCGGGATACAGAGGGTAGAACTGGTGGAGGATGCAACTTGCAACCTTTAACTAATAACTTCCCTTTTGCTGAACCTGTTGAACTTGGCTATGCTTAGAAATATGAGGGGGATACTACAAGGAGGAGTTTTCCTCCCTCCTGTCTTCCTATGGTGACAAGAATGATAACATACAAAAGAACAAAATGACTTACATGTTTAATATAAAGCCTATTGGAAGTATGTCACTTCCAATGACACAGAAGTATGTAGTTCAAAAGAGAAGAACAGACAGTATTTTTTAAATTACCAAGCTGGATTCTTTAAAATGGGTCCCCAAAGTTACCTTGATGAAGAGTGGCTCACGTAAAATCTTTAAGCTGAATAGCAAAAAAGCAACAGAAGGGAAATGGCCTAGAGGAGATTGTAAGAGTTAGCTGGATAGTTGGAAGTCCACAGTGGGTGCTTAAGGCCCAGCAAAGAGTACAGGTCTTTTAATTTCAAATTTAAAAATGCTACAGTTGCAGGAAATGACAGCTGTGCCCACACATTTTCCCTCTACCCACTTGCATCAAATGCCCATGTTTTAAGTCTTGCTTCTTTCTGGTAGGATAACAGAACTTGAAGCAAATACGTCAGTAGCTGCAGGCCACCAGAAGGATGGAGCCCAGAGCCTGCTGTCCTGTGAATAGTGGGGAGAGGCATATCTCTCACTGTTCCATCATGATCAAACTGCCGTACACTTAAAAAGTTCAAAATCCAGTGTCTGGACCTGGTTTTTCTAAGAGGGCATGCTTTAGGTTTTTATTGAAGGTAATATATTTTTTGAATAAAAGTGGCAACTATAGCATACCAAAAATAATGATATTGACAATAACAATGAAAGTTAATTGAGCATTTATTCTTTGAGGGACACCAGACTCAGCATTAGAAAGCTTATCTTCTGTAATTCAAATAATTCAAATAGCAACTCTGTAACATAGGTGCCATTTTTATTATTTTCATTTTACAACTGAGAAAAGTAAGGCACAGAGAGATGAAATATCATGTGCTTAAGGGACTCACGGCTAATAGGTGGCAAAAGAGTGATTTGAAACTTGACTGTTATTCTCAAAAGCCCATGAGCACCAGCTTCCTAGACTTAAAAAACTAAATTGTCATTCTCTTATCATCATCACTATTTAACATTTTCCACAAGGTTGGCCTAACCATCAACCTTTGTGCTTTTGGAAAAAAATTCTGATGGCATACTTACTCCCCCTAGATCCCTTTCCATCTGTTTCTTTGCAAAGATGATTGACGACTGAGCCCAGAGTCTAAAAATGCTGTCAACATCTGTAGCCCCAGGAGCTCATACAAAGTAACTAACTGGAAAGTCATTAACTGATGCAGTAACTATTTTCTGTCCCTAGGAGAACTTTGGCACCTGAGAGCAAGGCTCTTGGGCCCTACATGGAGAGACTGATATAGTAATTTATAATACAGCCCAACATATATGTCAAACAAACAGGGCCATTGGTGGCACAGACTAAGATACCGACTTCAAATGAAATGATATTCCAGCACTATTGTATATGATAGTCAAAGCAGCAAAGGGTTAATTAAAAGCAGTCTCTCTTGTTTCTGACAAGACCCTTTCTCCTTTGCCAATAGATGACTGTTTATACTCCCAGTTTATTTCTCCAGTCCTAAAGATATTTTATTGCCTGCTAAACTAAGTTTTCTCTAAATTGCTGCAGAAGAAAAACACCCCAAACTGCTTATTTCATCAAAACTGGCTTCTATATTATATTGGCCAAAATGAAATCCAAGAATCCAGGGCACCAAAGTTGATAATACGAGAGAGGGGCGCTTGATAAGATTTAAAAAAATTCTTTAGCGTCACAGTTGGTCATTACTTAACCTGTCAATCTCAAGTACTTAGTAGGAGTCTCTCTACCTCCTACCAGATAATTGCATTGAGTTATAGTATTTGAATTACTATTATATAAGCACCAAGAGGAAAGAGAGTATGATCAACTGCTTCATAGAATATTGGCATTTAGAATATTACCAAGTGTGAAGAGTTGCTTAAGTGCTGGTCATGATGACATGTGGTAAATTAGCCCCCAGCATCACGGCAGAGTTGACTGGCTGGAAAGTCACATGACTTCCTGACAGCCCTATTCCTTGGCAGGTGTTGGATATTTAAGTAGTGATGCTGGATTCTAATAGTACTCCCAAGGATGCAAGTGTGCTAAGGCTTTCTCCTCAAGGCATGACACACGGCACACTTGTGTGGCCTAGACAGATATCTTGGCTCTGCCACTTTCTTGTCATGCGATCCAGCACAATAATTTAATTTTCCTGAATCTCACTTTCCCAATCAGTAAAATGAGAACAGGGCTGCTTTTCTTTCATGATTCACTAGGCTGTTGTGTGGCTCGAATATGAAAAGCTGTAGAAAAAAGCTTTGAAGAATAGGTAAGTACTTAAGTACTATAAAAATGCATTAATTGCTAAGAATTTTGAGTGGGGTGTGTGTGTGGGTATGTGTGTGTGTGAGTAAGAGAGACAGCGAGTGATCGAGGGTGTTGGGAATAGAAGTAGAGGTAGGCTAGTTTGGAGGCCTTGGACTTTATTATCATTTTATTTATCTATTTATTTATTTATTTTTGAGACAGAGTTTCATTCTTGTCACCCAGGCTGGAGTGCAATGGCACAGTCTTGGCTCACTGCAACCTCTGCCTCCCAGGTTCAAGTGATTCTCCTGCCTCAACCTCTCGAGTAGCTGGGAATACAGGTGCCTGCCACCATGCCCAGCTAATTTTTGTATTTTTAGTAGAGATGGGTTTCACTATGTTGGTCAGGCTGGTCTTGAACTCTTGACCTCAGGTGATCCGCTCACCTCGGTCTCTCAGGCTGTGTTGGGATTACTGACGTGAGCCACTACACCTGGCTGACTTTATTATTATGATTATTATTATTTGAGATGGAGTCTTGCTCTGTAGCCCAGGCTGGAGTGCAGTGGTGTGATCTGGGCTCACTGCAAGCTCCACCTCCCAGATTCAAGTGATTCTCCTGCCTTAGCCTCCCAAGTAGCTGGGATTACAGGCATGTACCACCATACCCAGCTAATTTTCGTATTTTTAGTAGAGACAGGGTTTCATCATGTTGGTCAGGCTGGTCTTGAACTCCTGACCTCAGGTGATCCTCCCGCCTTGGTCTCCCAAAGTGCTGGGATTACAGGTGTGAGCCACTGCACCCAGAGACTTACTATTTTATTAATGTTTTAATGCTTCCTCCACACTCGAGAAATTGCTCAATAATTATGGTTAAATTTTTAGCACCAGTTTTGAATACCTCCTAGGAAAACCACCAATAAGTTGTTATTAGTCTACCACATATTTCCGGAACAAAAATAATTCATTTAGCTCTAAATGTTTATCTAAGGCATGAAAAACTTGGTTTAGTTCCTTGAATATCTTCAATGTTACCAAATTTATCCAAATATTTAATCTAAATTTGATGTGCTGTCATTTAAGGCCATTATGTCTGGTGGTTTCCTCATCAGTTAATCTCTACAATAGTGCTCTATCTGGCTCATTCCATCCTTTTATATTTCTGTAGACAGCTATCACCCCAAATGCCTTCATTTTATTTCTGAGCCAGTTATCTTTTTCTTGACTCAAACGCCATCATTTGGAAATATTTGTCACTTTTAGTTGGCCTCCTACGAAATCTGAAGCACATTTCGTCTATCTGTTTAAATTCGGGATCACGGGCCCTTGCTCATCCTTGCTCTATGAATCAAGGTAGAGGGCTCTTGTATAAACTGTTTTTGCTATTTTCCTATCACTGCATGTACCTTTTCTCCTCACCTAAAATAAACCAAGGTAAGCAGGAAGGGAAAAGCACTTCCCTGGGGTGAAGTGGTTCTTACCACAAAGACTTCACAGCAGATGCAAAGGCCACTGTTCTTGGTAAAGGCGTGAGTTATGTCCAGGAGAGCAGGTCTTGTCATGGGTCCCCCTGTCAAGACAATGCACTGGGGCCTGGAAGTGAAAAGAAAGGCTTGAGAGTGTGCCACTGCAAGCAGTCTGTGACCTCAGAACCATTCCAGTGGGATAACAGGGACAGAGGCTTGGAAAAATGGAACAACCTTTCCCCTGTTTTTTCGCTTTCCCACCAGAATTCTTGAATCATCCTGTCTGTCCATCTTGACATGCTCGTGCTCTCAGTTCAGTTAGTCATAGCAAAAGTGTGAAGTAAGGAAAAGGTGGTCTTGTGGTCCCTCATATGGTTTGGCTTTGTTCCCATCCAAATCTCATCTTGAATTGTAGCTTCTATAATCCCCACGTATTGTGAGAGGGACACGGTGGGAGGTAACTGAGTCATGGGAACAGATTTTCCCTTGCTGTTCTCATGATAGTGAATAAGTCTGAAGAGACCTGATGGTTTTATAAAAGGCAGTTCACCTGCACACACTCTCTTGGCTGCCACCATATAAGGTGTGACTTTGCTCCTCCTTCACCCTCCACCATGACTGTGAGGTCTCCCCAGCCATGTGGAACTGTGAGTCCATTGAATTTCTTTTTCTTTATAAATTACTCAGTCTTGGGTATTTCTTTATAGCAGTATGAACATGGACTAAAATTGGTACCGGTAGAGTGAGGTGCTGTTGTAAAATTAGCCAAAAATGTGGAAGTGACTTTGGAACTGGGTATAACAGGCAGAAGCTGGAACAGTTTGCAGGGCTTAGAAGAAGATAGAAAAATGTGGAAAAGTTTGGAACTTTCTAGAGAATTGGAGGGCTCAGGAGAAAGGAAGATGTGGAAAAGTTTGGAACTCCATAGAGACTTATTGAATGGTTTTCACCAAAATGCTGATAGTGATAATGGACAATAAAGTCCAGGCTGAGGTGGTCTCAGATGAAGATGAGGAACTTCTTGGGAACTGGAGTAAAGGTCACTCTTGCTATGCGAAGAGACTGGTGGCATTTTGCCCCTGCCCTAGAGCTCTGTGAAACTTTGAACTTGAGAGAGATGGTTTAGGGTATCTGGTGGAAGAAATTTCTAAGCAGCAAAGTATTCAAGAGGAAGCAGAGCGTAAAAGTTTGAAAAATTTGTAGTAGAAATGTTTTTTTGTGGGGAGAAATTCAAGCCAGCTGTAGAAATTTACATAAGTAACAAGGAGGCAAATGCTAATCACCAAGACAATGGGAAAGGTGTTTCCAGGGATGTCAGAGAACTTTACAGCAGCCCCTCTCATCACAGGCCTGGAGGCCTAGGAGGGAAATATGGTTTTCTGGGCATGGTCCAGGGCCCCCCTTCCTGTGTGCAGCCTTGAGACTTGCTGCCCTGTGTCTTAGCTGCTCCAGCCATGGCTAAAAGGGGCCAAGGTATAGCTTGGGTGCTGGCTTCAGAGAGTGCAAGTCCCAAGCCTTGGCAGCTTTAATGTGGTGTTGGTCCTGCAGGTGCACAGAAGACAAGAATTGAGGTTTGAGAACCCCTGCCTAGATGTCAGAAGTATGGAAATGCCTGGATATCCAAGCAGAGGTGTGCTGCAGGGGCAGGGCACTCATGGAGAGCCTCTGCTAGGGCAGTGCAGAAGGGAAATGCAGGGTTGGAGCCCCCACACAGCCTCCCCACTAGGGCACTGCCTAGTAGAGCTCTGAGGAGAGGGCCACAGTCCTCTAGACCCCAGAAATGGAGATTCACCGACAGTTTGCACTGTGCACTTGGAAAAGCTGCAGACACTCAACACCAACCAGTGAAAGCAGCCAGGAGGAGGGCTGCACCCTGCAAAGCCACAGGGGCAGAGCTGCCCAAGACCATGGGAACCTACCTCTTGCATCAACATGATCTGGATATGAGGCATGGAGTCAAAGGAGATAATTGTGGAGCTTTAAGATTTTACTGCCCCACTGGATTTCCGACTTGCATGGGGCCTATAGCCCCTTCGTTTTGGCCAATTTCTCCCATTTGAAACAGGTGTATTTACCCAATGCCTGTACTCTACTGTATCTAGGAAGTAACAAACTTGCTTTTGATTTTACAGGCTCGTAGGCAGAAGGGACATGCCTTGTCTCAGATGAGACTTTGGACTGTGAACTTCTGAGTTAATGCTGAAATGAGTTAAGACTTTGGGAGACTGTTGGAAAGGCATGATTAGTTTTGAAATGTGAGGACATGAAATTTTGGAGGGACCAGGGATGGAATAGTATGATGTAGGCTGTGTCCCCACCCACGTCTCATCTTGAATTATAGTTCTCATAATCCCCATGTGTCGTGGGAGGGACCCAGTGGGAGGTAATGGAATCATGGGGGTGGATTTTCCCGTGCTGTTCTCATGACCGTGAATATGTCTCACAATATCTGATGGTTGTACAAAGGGCAGTTCCCCTGCCCATGCCCTCTTGCCTGGCACCATGTAAGACATGCCTTCGCTCCTCCTTTGCCTTCTGACTTGATTGTGAGGCCTCCCCAGCTATGTGGAACTGGGAGTCCATTGAACCTCTTTTTTTATATAAATGACTCAGTCTTGGATATTTCTTCATAGCAGTATGAAAATGGACTAAAACAGTCCCCTTGTCTTTTTCCCTGTAGCCACCTACCCCAAATCCCAACATAATCTGTCCCTCTCCAACCAAGATTTTTATGTTACTTTCTTTCATTCTTCATACAAGCTTGTGCTTAAGGTTTCATTCAAAATAAGATACAACTAATGAAAAGCTAAAAGCGTTACTTTTAAGAGAATTCAGTAAGCCCTAAAGCCTTAAGCAGAATGGAGACAAAAGCAGAGTAAAGTGTGTGGGGATTCAGATAATCTCTCTAAAGTCACGTCCCTTAGTCCACCTTGCTATCTCGCTGCATGGAAGGTTACACCTGGCACTATGAGGGGCTGTAGTTTGGGGTGGACATAGCTCAGTATGGAAGGAAAGAAGCACTCACTTACAGGAGGTGCTGTCATAATAATGGGGCAGTACTGTCTGACTGCTTATTTTTAGAACGTACCCATAAAACTTATAACTACTTGAATGCCTTATCCCTCATTCGGGAAAGGCACTTCTAATGTGGAACAACATCAGGGTGCCTGAGACACCAGCTTTACCTGAAGTTTTTCACGTGGTCGTCCACTGTGGTTAATTCCAGAGCATTGTCTAAAGCACTCACGTAGGAAAGTGCCTGTGTGGAGGAGCCCCAGTTCACCTCTGTGGATAAAGGAGGAAATTGGCATAAAAAGCAGTGACCTTTCCTCTGTGTACCATGAATAATTTTTACAAGCCATCCCCATCTATGATTTTCCTTGGCTGTGCCAGTGATGATGAGTGCCCAAATTAGAGAAAATATAATGCGCTATTTCCTAAAAAGCACTTTGTATACTTCTATGAATACACATGAATCCTCAGAAGCGAAGGCTTCATTCCAGCAAAGGATCAGACTGTACAACTGCAGTCCAGGAAATCTTGCTTGGTGGGAGAGGCTGTGCGCTAACCACACTGCAGGCAGACAGACTTGGGAGCTGGTCAGTCCCTGAATAGATCTAAAGCATCTTCACAGATTTTTTTTTTTGAGAGAGAGTCTTGCTCTGTCGGCCAGACTGGAGTGCGGTGGCACCATCTACCGGGTTCAAGTGCAGTGGTACCATCTCCATCCGCCCGGGTTCACCAATTCTCTGCCTCAGCCTCCTGAGTAGCTGGGACTACAGGAATGCACCACCATGCCCGGCTAATTTTTGTATTTTTAGTAGAAGCAGGGTTTGGCCATATTGGCCAGGCTGGTCTCAAACTCCTGAACTTGTGATCTGCCCACCTCAGCCTTCTAAAGTGTTGGGATTACAGGCATGAGCCACCACACCTGGCCCAATTCTTAAATTGAAATGAGAAGCAGCATTTCTGTATACACAGATAATGTGCAGTAATCTTTATATTTTGAATAGTAAAACTAAATAGCATGGGAATTCTTCTAGATTTCTATGAAGAGGGTCGAGGTTCCTTAGCAAACATTTTAGTTTGATCTTTGAGAACCTAATCCCTAATCATCTTCATCACAAGGAGGTCAGTTCTCAGTTCTACCATCTCCCCCCGCTTTCTTTCTTTTCTTTTTTCTTCGTTTTTTTTAAAATTTAAGTATTAAATGGCTCTTCCAAGGTTTATGAGAGGAAGTCCCTGACATGAATGTACAGATACATCCCAGATGACAGACAGAACATATTCTTCTCAGTCTTGTTCTGGAGAGCCAGGGAAATGGGTGAACAATAATTATCGGAGATAAAGCAGATCAATATTGATCGAATGTTGACTGTGCATCAGGCATTAAGTGTACCTTAGGGTATTTATTTTTATAGGGATAAAAGCTCTACTAGTCATTGGACTTTTTTTTTTTTTTTTTTGAGACAGAGTTTCACTCTTGTTACCCAGGCTGGAGTGCAATGGCGCGATCTCGGCTCACCGCAACCTCCGCCTCCTGGGTTCAGGCACTTCTCCTGCCTCAGCCTCCTGAGTAACTGGGATTACAGGCACGCGCCACCATGCCCAGCTAATGTTTTTTGTATTTTTAGTAGAGACGGGGTTTCACCATGTTGACCAGGATGGTCTCGATCTCTTGACCTCCTGATCCACCCGCCTCGGCCTCCCAAAGTGCTGGGATTACAGGCTTGAGCCACCGCGCCTGGCTTGGACGTTTATATTTAAAAAGTGAACCTTGAATAATACCTCACATCATATATAAAAAAGAAATAAAAATGGATAATATACCTAAATATAATTCCCAAAGCATTAAAACTTCTAGAAGTTTGTGACTTTGAATTAGGAAAAGATATCTTAGATCAGATGCAAAATGGCAAGCCACAAAAGAAAAAAAAGATAAATTAGACTTCATAAATACTTAGAACTTTTATTCTTCAAAACAAATTGTAAGGAAAATAGAGAAGCAAGAGAAAATATTTGCAAAACACATACTACTAAAGGATTTGCATCCAGAACAGATAAAGAACTCTCACTACTGAATAATAAGAAAACAACTGAAAAATGAGCAAAAGATTTAAACAGACACTTGACTAAAAAATATATATGGATGGCAAATAAGATGTTCAACATTGTTAATCATTGGAAAAATGCAAACGAAACCACAATGAGGTGGCACTACATATCTATTAGAATGGCCTTTAAAAAAATCAACTGTCAATAATACATGCTGACAAACACGTGGAGCATCTAGGACCCTCATTCATGGTTTGTAGGAATGGAAAGTCATACTGCTACCACAGAAAACAGTTTGGCAGTTTCTTCTAAAGTTGTATATATATATATACATATATATATATACTTTTTATTTAATCATAAATCCTACTACTAGATATTTACCCAAGGGAACATGAAAACATAAGTCCACATAAAGTCCTGTGGACCTAAACTGAAAAGAACTCAGATGACTATCAACTAGTAGATTGAACTAAAAAGGATATGTGATGTATTCATACAATAGAATACCACTCAACAATATGAAAAACAAACCACTTACATATGCAACAGCATAGATAAATCTAAAAGCATTCTGCTAAGGGAAAGGAAGTCTTCTAAAAGGCTATATCCTGTATGTTCATATTTATATGGTATTTTGGAAAAGGCAAAGCTGGAGGATCAGACATCAGACAAGCAATCACCAGAGGCTATGTTGGAGGGTGGAGATTGACCATGCAGGGGTATAAGGGAACTTGTGGGGATGATGGGAATACCCTGTGTTTTGATGATGGTTACAACACTGTACAAGTTTATCAAAACATATAGACAGCACATTAAAAAGAGGTGAATTTTGCCATATGTAAGTTATATGTGATGTTTAAAATACGTAAAGTAGTAAATAAAAGCTAAACCGCCCCCTCCAAGGTAGTGACTACAAGCTCTGCTTTACTGGCAGAGTAAGGGAAAGGAGAGAGTGAGGCTGCCTCTGGGCTTCTCTGCACTGCACTGCTGCAGTCCCTCCCAGCTGTAATACATCTGGTACTAAAGTCAACACCCAAAGTTCACATCCAATTGACCAGCCTGTGGCATCTTCCTGTTGCTCACATCAGATTCTTTAGCATGACCTTTAAGTTTCTTATTTATCTGGCCCATACCAACTCTTCCAGGCTCCTGCTGTGACCCTTCTCCCTATCACTCAAGAGCTTTCTGTGTGGGGAAGGCTTGAGTTTCCTAAATATGCTGCCCTGCACTTACATGTGTCCTTAATGTCATTCACGGTTTGCCTTCTGCCCAGAATGTCATTCCCTGACTCTGATTAACCAAACCTCAGTTGCTTCCTTAAAAAAAAAAAACTAATTTATTTATTCATTTAAAAAATATTGGTTAAATGTCCACTGGGTGTTGACTCTGTGAACATCAGTTAGGAACCAGAAAGTTTTCCTGAATAACTCCAGTCAAAGTTAACCAACCCTTCTCTCCCACTTTCTCAGCAATTTGCTCATATCACTCTCACGGTGGTTACTCTATTGTATCATAATTAATTCCTTAAGTGTGGCTCTGTGAACTCCTTGAGGACACAAACTGTATCTAGTCTATCAGGACATCAGAAACAGAAATTGATATAATGGAAAGTTTGTCGGGTTGGTTCGGTATCATACACATTCTGGATATATGGTCAGCTCTATCACATCCTGATTATTACTTTGGCAACTCTTTCAACCCCAGTTTCTTCGTCTGTAAAATGGGACTAACAGTACTGTGAAGATTGAATGAGTGTAAGGTATGTAACAAGTGCTCGACAAGGTTAACTATTGTTATTATTACTTTTTCTTTTTTTTTCAAACAGAGTTTTGCTCTTGTTGCCCAGGCTGGAGTGCAGTGGCCTGATCTCAGCTGACTGCAACCTCCAGCTTCTGGTTTCAAGCGATTCTCCTGCCTCAGCCTCCCAAGTAGCTGGGATTACAGGTGCCCACTACCACGCCCGGCTAATTTTTGTATTTTTAGTAGAGATGGAGTTTCACCGCGTTGGCCAGGCTGGTCTTGAACTCCTGACCTCGTGATCTGCCTGCCTTGGCCTTCCAAAGTGCTGGGATTACAGGTGTGAACCACTGCGCCTGGCCCCAGCTATTGCTATTATTACATTGCATGAGATTATTAACATCCCATCTTACATAAGCCTCATTTAAGCACATAAAAGTTGCTCAATAAATGCTTAATAAATGAGTAGAGAGAGAATTGGAAACGCTATTCCATACAGTCCTTATGATCTTACCCGGCTTCTTATAAGTCACATAGATATAGAGGAAGAATTCAATGACATAGGTGATGACAGCTGCCCACCAGTTGATGACAAACATGACTGCACAGCACAAAACAGCTCCAAAAAGAGATACCCACATGTTGTAAATTCCATATGCAGGTCTCCATCCTGAAAGTAAAAAAAAAATACCGAAGGAAAACTTCCAGTCTACTACTATCAGGCACTGAATATGATAAGAATGCAGGTAACAAGTCTTTTTCCTGACATAAAGAATCAGAACTTTTAAGTCAATTTCCAAACTCTGTTATTATTTTCCTATGATATTGGATCCCTGCTCTGTGAAGATGCTACTTACACCAAATAGAATGCTGTAAAGTTTAGGAAATGTTAAGCATCTGAGAAGTGTGCCATTCAGGACCTTCCATACTTTCTGCCCCGAACGTCCTCCCAAACTCCCAAATCTTAAGCATCTAGTATCTATGCCCTCAGGAGCTGAAAAGAGGCAGAAGGAAGGGAAAGAGTGGGGCCTGTCAGGCGGGGAGGAGAAACTTCTTGGTTGTCTAAGAAAGAAAAAGTGAAGTCAATGGGCTTTTTGCTCCCAGGGAGAAGGCAGAGAAGTCATCAAGAGTCAATCTGCTTGACGTTCTGGTAGCTCTTCCATTACCCTGGGAGGACAGTGGTTGCCCTTTCAGAAATAATAATTGATGGAAAAAGAGGGAGAAATGGCTTTTTAAACCCAGTGGCTAGCAAAGCCTTGTTAAACCCAAGGTGTTAATATGTCATGCATTTTGCAATGAAAATATTCTCACAGTGCACACATGTGCGTGGGTTTTCTGTGTTCTCTTAGTTCCCTAAAGTGAAAGCAAATGGAAGACAGTATGGATAGGAGGGAAACTCTCCGATTTGAAGGGCGCCTTTCGTTAATGAAGGGGCACATTTTAATTAGGAGTTGCCAAAACACAACAGAACTTTAAGTGTTAGGAAGCAATTTTCTAAATGGCCACAAGATGGAAATAGCACTTCAAGAACATCATTGAAAATAGCCTTATTTTTCTGAGCCTGGCTTCCTGTCTGTGTGTGGGTGTGTGTGTGTTGGGTGGCGGGGGCAGTGGGCAGACATTTTCTGGGTTTGGATATCCACGTGTCTTCCTTTATATGCTTTTCTATATTCCCGCCCCTCTTTTCTTTCCCATCCTCCTTTTCACTTGTTTTTCACATAAATAATACCTCTATTATTTCACCTTATTTTTCAAAAGTGGCCATAACATGGCACGGAGTCACACATTTCTGTGTTAACAAAACACACGAAGAAACAAAAAGTCCTCTGCTACTTTCTGTAGCCAAGTATTGGTTAGATTAAGGTTAGTCTTCCATCTGTATTTTGTCTTATTGGAAACAAGTTTTCCACAGGAGGCTTAAGATCTTGTCAGGCCCTAAACGAGTGGAAATGCGTTTATATATCCCTCAAGGTGGGTCAAAGTCCTCAAGGTGGAGAACTTTCTGAAGGTAGATAATGACGTCTCCATTCTGGCAGGAAGGCAGAGGAAACTGAAGTGGACCACGGAAGCAAAAAGAGGTGAGGACTGACTAGAAAGGGGAAGGTTCTTTGGTGTGAAGTTTTGAACAACTTTAAACCACAGCCCAAAGGGGGCCCTGGTGCCACTAGCATCAATGCAGCCTATCTGCGTCTCCTCCACTCAGCAGGTAATTATGGGAACTACTCATCCTTCTCTTCTGCACCATGGGCAGGAAACAAATTGATAGTAAGGAAGTTTCAAATATATACATTAATTCCACTTCTGTGGTCACTTTCACTCTGGAAATAAATAGTGGTGTTTTTCTACTGCTGAAATAAATGTGGTTTCTCTTGCAATGAATAATTTATTACCACAGGAGAAAATTGACTTTACGGTTGGTCAAAAAGGCCATTGCTCAAATGATTCTTTTTCTATTTCAAAAATCATCCCCAAACTCACCAAAATAAAGTGGCTTACGCTTCCCACTAGGATGTAAGGAAACATATAAAGACAGATTGAACACTTTTCACTGACTTATTTCATTTTATTGAGACAAACTAACTGTTTGCTTAGGCATATTTTAGTTTTGGAAGTAAGCTTACCTGGAGATTTGGCATAAGAGGCATGGAAGCAGGAGAAATTAATAAGTGCGTATGAGGCCAGGAAAAAGTTGGAGATGATGGGAGCAATGGTGTTCAGTTCCGCTGTAAAAGAAACAGAATTGAACATGTACGTATGAGTGATGAGACCAGAGGCTAAACAGCTGTTATAGTCTGGAAGCTTGACTTTATTTGGAAATTGAAAACATAGTGAGCATCTGTCAAAGTTTAAGAAGTTAGTCATTTTTCTTTGGGGGCTACATACATGCTTTTAGCTAGGGTTTCCATAAAGAAAGAAATAAAAAAGCCTACCAATCAGAAAATTAGACAATTGAGACCTCTACCTATAAAAAGTTCAACTGGCCATGGGTAGATGTGAGACTGGGCATACAATTAACTCCCCTGTAGCTTTTTTGGAGGCGTCTAATCCTGTGTTCTTTAACTGCTAGGTACACAATAAATAGGCTTTGCAGGATATTAGTTAAATACCAGTGCACGGAAAGCTCCCCTGTGGAAATCTCCCTGCCTAGACCCAATATATGCTCTCTGATTTTCAGGACTCTTTGTCATTCATACCTTTTCCACATCTCTAGAGAGTTCTACCTCTCAGGGGTAGCAAAAATATTATTAATTATTATTATTAGTTTTGAGATGGAATCTCACTCTTGTCGCCCAGGCTGGAGTGCAATGGCACGATCTTGGCTCACTGCAACCTCTGCCACCCAGGTTCAGACGAGTCTCCTGCCTCAGCCTCCCTAGTAGCTGGGACTACATGCGCCCACCACCACACCCAGGTAATTTTTGTATTTTTAGTAGAGGCAAGGTTTCATCATGTTGGCTGGACTGGTCTTGAACTCCCTGATCTCGTGATCTGCCCACCTCAGCCTCCCAAAGTGCTGGGATTAACAGCCATGAGCCACTGCACCCAGCCCCAAAATACTTTTGCCTCAGTGAGTAAATGTCTGGTATGATTTCATTCTAGCTGGATTTTTTACTGGGCAATATAAGAAAAAACATAGAGATGTTATCCTTTATCTGAAGGTCAGACATCTATCACCCTCAGTGATGCAAATGATGTAATGATGCAAATGCAGGTGTGATTCTGGAATATGGATACCAACAAGAAAGTAGGCAAAACAGCTGCCATGAAGCTTATGCATGGAGCCAATCCACTTGTTCTGAAAGAGTGATTTTAAAGGATATTATTTCAATTTACACAAAACTTTTAAAACTTTGGTCACTTTCTCATGTAAATGCAGCACAGGGCAATGATTTGGGATCTTAAAGACTAAATTACATAATGGAAACATCTCTTTATATAATCACTTTTAATTTAATTTTTAAAAATCTAACAGAGAGAGACAAATTCCCCTCTTCAGCCTCATACAAATGCTATGAGGATTCATGAATTATAGTCACTTCCTGAGTTTAACATGCAATGAGGAGGAGCCCTCATTGCTTGGCACTGCTGTGCTGAGGAAGTCTCTGCTTGCTTATGTGTGGCTCCCAAAGCCCTCTGCCTTCTGCTTCTTTTCCTCTGATATGCTCATCAGCAAAGGTGAGGCCTTAGGGAAGAGTGAGAAATGTGCAAATTAAAGTTGATGAATGTGCCTCTCCAAGATTATGTAGCTGTTTCTATATCACCTGAGGAGAGGAAGCAGAGATTATAGTCTAGGTGAGTGGTTCTCAGATACCAGTGGTCTATGAATCTCTTGAGGAGCTTGTGAAATGTGGACTCCTTATCCTCAGAGGGTCTGACTCACGTTACTCTGGAATTGGGCCTGAAGTCTCTGCACTTTCCCAAACACCCCAGGTGATTGTGATATAGATGGTCAGTGAATCACAGTTTGAGGAACACTAACATAGGCAATTCAATTCTGCCAGCCATCGGGACGGTAGATATGGTAGTGGCATCTATGTCTAGATTTGGACAATTTCAGGCAGGTAGGAGGAAGGATTCAGCTGCCTTTTGCTGGATGGATTTCCAACACTCAGATTCAAAGAACAGATTAAAACCCAGTCTACCCTGAGTTCCTCAAAGGCCCTCTACACACAAGGATTTCTCATTTCCTTCTTAGATGCCAATATTCCCAAATGGGATCCTAAACATAAAACAGGTAATTTTTTCATGCTAAAAGGAAAGCCCTATAAATAATCAGAAGAACTCTCTGGTTTTCAATAAAAACAAGAAAACTTTACAAACCAATAAGAATAAATGCCATGGCTATAAGAAAAGTGAGAATGTATCCTCTCAGGGGTTCATTGTTTTTCCCATATCCCTTTGCAAAAAACTGCAGGGCTTTGTAGATGTTGTCCTTGCACAGAGCCTAATGGAAAAGAAGAGGAGAAATTTGTCATTTATAGCTATGCACAGTTATTTTCTCTAGGTGATTCAAACGAGAAGATTTGGGGAAAGATTAAGTGATACACAAGATGAGGCACAAGTTAACACTGCAGTTTATCATTCTTTATATTATTTGAATCGATCTTGACTATGTGGCAGACATAGCACTTGAGCCAGATGCAAACATTAACTGTTTCAGAAAATGATGGAAAATGACTGCCAGTGAGAGTGAGTATTTCAGCTTGATTCACATTCTGTGGAAACAGCAACAGGGAGAAGCACGAGCTGTTGTGCTTGTATTACCTGGAACACTTTGGGTGCGCTGACAAGGGAGGCCAAGGCGGAGGAGAGCGTTGCAGAAAAGATTCCTGCAGTGATGAGGGGGCCAAACCCTGATACCATGCTCATGACCTTGAGAGGAGAGGTACAAGTCAGGAGACTTTCTGAGGAATCTGTTGCATAAGCAAATTGCTTTTAACTAGATTTTTTTTTCCCTCTGCTTCATTTTCATTCTTGCATTCTTTTTTCATTTTTTATTTTTTGAGACTGAGTCTCCCTCTATCACTCAGGCTGGAGTGGTGTGATCTTGGCTCACTGCAACCTCTGCCTCCCAGGTTCAAGCAATTCTCATACCTCAGCCTCCTGAGTAACTGGGATTACAGGCACCCACCATCACGCCTGGCTAATTTTTGCATTTCTAGTAGAGATGGGGTTTCACCATGTTGGCCAGGCTGGTCTCAAACCCCTGACCTCAAGTGATCTGCCCTCCTTGGGTTCCCAAAGGGCTGGGATTACAGGTGTGAGCCACCATGCTCAGCCCATTTTCGCATTCTTCATTTTATTTTTTTTTAAATAGAAATGGCTTTTTTGGTTATTTATAAGATAATAAATGCTCACCACAATATATCCAGAAGATACTGGAAAGAATAAAGAAGGAAATGGTTTCAAGGATTTTGACATTTTTTTCTCTGTTCTTTGTGGCCATATGTTTCTTTGATGATGGGGAATTCTATCCAGCAGAAAGTAGTATTCTAATAAGGTTTGGGGAAGGCTCATCTCTTTACTAGTCTTTTTGCAGCCATTAACCTTTCTTCTTCCTGCACACAGAGGCTTTTTAGACCTTTGCTACTTCTGTGCTCATTAAACATAATTTTGTCTCTGAGACATGATGTGATTCTATCAATTTAAGTCATATTTTAGAATAATGAATTCAGCTGAGTTAATTTCTCTTTGTGGGTTATTAAAACAAAGAATGAAGCATTCACAACAAATTTACTTCTCCCTCTGCTCACCAATCATGTCGACAAATTAATATATTTAAAGTCCTAGTTTTTCTAACTTCCATTGTTCCTTCCCTCTTATTTACCTCCCGTCTGGCACTCACAATTTCTCTCTCAGCCTTGTCTTCCAGCCTCTCCAGGGCCAGCTCAAAGGCTTTGTCTAAGCTGTTGGCCTTGTATGAAATGCATTCCAAGATTTCTCAATGAACTTAAAACAGAGCTATCACTTCACCGCAGCAATCCCCTTACCGGGTATATATTCAAAAGAAAACAAATCATCCAACCTAAAAGATACAGGCACCTGTATGTCTATTGCAGCACTATTCACAATAGCAAAGACATGGACTCAACCTAGATGCCCATCAATGGTGGACTGTACAAAGAAAACGTGATATATATACACCATGGAATGTTACAGACATAAAAAGAAAATCATGTCCCTCTCGCAGCAACGTGGATGCAGCTAAAGGCCATTATCCTGAGCAAACTAACACAGGAACAGGAAACCAAATACCACATGTTCTCACTTATAAGTGGGAGCTAAACACTGAGTACTCATGAACATAAAGTAGCAACGAGACACTGGGGACAGAGGATGGCAAAGGTTGAAAACTAGCTATTGAGTGCTATGCTTAGTACCTGGGCGAACTACTCACAGTGAACAGAGGCTACCTGCTTTCATATCCCCAAATCTCAGCATCACACAATACACTCATGTAAAAAACCTGCACATATAGGATACTCCTTGAATCTAAAAAAACCCCTAAAATTATGAAAGAAAGAAATACATTCCAAGTGCTAACTAATTTAAGTTCCTTTCCACCATGAAATTTTGCCCAACTGATCGGAAGACACGTGGTGCCAGGAGATGACCTCTCCTTGGTGATGCAATTCATCCGAATGCCTATTATCTCCCCACCACAGTAAATGTAACCATAGGATTTGCTAACACACAATGCCTGTATGATTCTCTTCCCTCCCATCCCTTGCTGGGTTCTTGTCAGTCAATAATCAATCCATTGCAGATTAAAAAGTATTACTCCATAAGACATTCTAAAAATAAAATAATAGCAATGAACATTTCAAAATTTTGCTTCAAACCTGGAAATTATTCATCAGCCCATACTGACATGGTTCATGTCGACATCTTGAGAAGTCATAGCCCAACCCACATGCTGCAGAACCATTGCAGTTCATCCCAGAAATGATGGTGTCATTCACGTTGCCGGTGGCATCTCGGACCACACAGGCCCCTGTGGAAAAAACCGCGGCTTGTTATTTCTTTATAAGGTTCTGGTCCCTTACGGTTTTATTCTGAAAACATAGTTTACTTTGAGTCTGAACAGGTCCATTTCTTAGCCTCTGTTCACTGTGACTAATTCTTGGTAACTGGAGGCTCCCATCTGCCGAGTCCCGGGGTTTCTAGTTTTCTTAACAGGCTGCCATTTCAACTGCCTCTTGTGACTTAGATTTGAGAGGTAAGAGACTTGGGAGTTGACACTGAGTCTTAATTTCTGATCTCTTAAAACTTGTATGGCAGTGCTTCATATGTACTGCCATACATACGTCTGGCTTAGTACTAACAACCAGATATTTTTCAAGTAGAAGGATTTATTTCCTCATCTGCAAGAGAACCAAGGGGTGGCATTACGGAATTCTATTATAGCAATTAAGAGAACGCAGCCCTTATTTTCAACTAATGATACTCCTTGCATGATTTATAAAACAGTTACGGTTCTACATTATATGCAATTTTAATGGTTTAAACAATAAAGAAAATGGTTTAGAATACAATATTCAGATTTCCTAGGTAAGGGTAAAATAATATTGATCAAATATCTATCTCAGTTGATCTATTCCATTATTTTCATACATTTGAATATATGTTATTTTCTATTATAAGAATTCTATGATGAACATCTTTGCACATAAGCTTTTTCTCCTAGGATAGACTCTTAAAAATGGTATTGTGGCCATTTAAAAGACCCTTGATATATATTTTAATCACTGTTACTTCTCCCTGTGCTCACCAATCCTTACTGTGCTCACACAGCCTTAATGTGAATAAAGCTTTCCCTTGTAATTTTTTCTAACTAATCTTTGCCATTATGTATTTGATAAGATTTTTGAAATATATGAATATATGTGTAAAGAATATGTAAACTTTTCTGAACTACATGAAGGATAAATACTTTACAAACTAAATATTAACCAATAAAACTGCTTTGCCTTTCAAACTCTACCCAGGGTGGGTTCTTATGCCTTGCTAATACCCTTAAGACAGGTCCCAGTGACAGGAATGAATGGGATTCCTTAATCTTAGCCATGAAATCCACATTCTTTGAATTTGGGAGACTTAAAAGAAAATCAGAGAATATTCTATTTGAAAGAGCCATTTAAAATAATCCTTGCAGAGATTCTTTTTATCAGAGTCCTGAGAGGTAGCCTGCCAGCCTCTACTTGAATGCTGGAAATCATGGATGTCGATTATAAACTATTCATTCATATTTTACCTGTTTGTGTTGTTCATTTATGTTGAACTGAATTCTTTGAATCATGTATTTTAACCTCTCCATAATAGATCTCTCAAAATTTCCATGAAGCCAGGCCATGAGCCATTATTTGTTCTAATGACAGGACATTCACTCCATGACTATCCTCCTATGCTGGGAAAGTGTAGAAATGCTTATTTTTCCACCCATTATGGGCAAAATCAGAAACTCTGAAAGCAGATCTATAACTTTACTCATTCCCTCACTTTAACTGCAGTAAAAAAGAAAACCACTTGAGAAATTTAACTTTAGTGGTTTCAATATCATTTAAAAATGTGATTACCTAAAGCAATGAAACAAAAAAATCTCTCTACATGTAACTAAACTTGGACATGCCCCAGCAATACATCTATCTATCTATCTATCTATCCATCTATTTATTTATTTATTTTTGACACATGGTCTCAGTCTGTGCCCAGGCTGGAGTGCAGTGGTGTGATCACAGCTCACTGCACCCTTGACCTTCCAGACTTAAGTAATCCTCTCACCTCACTCTTCCGAGTGGTTGGGACCATAGGCATATGCCACCATTCCTGGCTAATTTTTTATTTTTTGTAGGGCTGGGGTTTCACTGTATTGCCCAGGCTAGTCTTGAACTCCTGGGCTTAAGCAATCCTCTGGCCTCAGCCTCCCAAAATAGTGGGATTACAGGCATGAGCTACTGTGCCCAGCCCCAGCAATACTTTTAACAAAGTTATCAAATTTCCTCAGATTAAAGACAGTGAGACCAGGAAGGATTTATGGTCAATTTTTGCTTTTATCTCCAGAAACCAATTGTAGGTACATGCACCTTCTCAATTTCTCTTACAGTAAACAGAAGAGGACTGGGATGTGCCCTTTGGCCTCCACAGTGTCCAGCCTGGAGCTGTTTTCCCTATTGTACACAAAAGATGGTTTTCTTCTCTAAATGTTGGGAAACCACATTTCTTCCTCTCCTACTATGGCAAAAGTAGGAGGCAGCCCCTGACCAGGAGGAGGTATGGCTGCAGGCAGCAGGTGGAACCCAAGTGATCCTCAGGAACAGCCGGTGAGCACAAGTATTGTCTGTTCACTGAACAATATAGGGGCCAGCTGCCCACACTGCTGGGTCTTGTTCTGATTTTCCGTCAACTGGTGACAGCGACATTTCCATATTAGGGATAGCAGTGCAAGGATGAGACACAGTCACAAATTCCATATCTTTCATACTTCCCTCAGGCTGTTTTTAAGTTTAGATGGTTTTGTTTTTCACTTCTTTTCTCTATTCTGTTTCTCTCCTGCCTCTTAGAACAAAGGAAGTGTATCCTGAAAGTGGTAGCCTCCTTAGCAGTGGGATTATAATCAAGGATAGTAAAATGGAACCCTCTTTGTGTTCAGGTAGAATGACAACCTGATTAGCTTTACTCAAGCCTGACCCGGAGATGCCTGTATTATAGCTTAATTGCATTAAATCCCTAAAGCATCCAAATCACTAACATTAAGGTACCAAGAAGGAATTAAAATTGTTGCCTTTAAAAAATCTTTGTATTTATGTTCCATTGAAAGCCCACTAGACGTGAATAACTGGACCCCTCATGATTCTGACATTCTTACACTAGAGACGTACCACTTACCTACACAAATTGCAACCCCTAAGTAGGCAACAGTGGTGATGAAAATGGCCAGCATGGTTCCTCTGGGGATGGCATCCTGGGGATCCTTTAAAAAAATAATGTGGCAGTAGAAGAATACAGAGCAGAATAAGAACCATAGATCACTTGGAGTTATTTTCATATTTTCAGATTTTTAGGTGAGCCTACCTGAGGCAAGTTCTAAGAAAAGATAAAACCAATGGCAAGTTGATGGGCTTGAGTTTTATTATGGACAAACACAAGGTGTACAGAGTGAATAAAGAAACCTGTAAAATTTTCAGCTGAACAGAAGAGATCTCTAACTGTCCAGAAGGAAGTTTCTATAGAAAAATATAGTAGGTACAGTAGTTCACTCACCAAGGCCTCATCCTTCTCTTTATCTCCTATAAATTTCATTTAAATGTATCATGTCTTGAAGTTGTAGGGGAAAATATACAAACATATCTGGCATGTTGATGATATCTCTGTGTGTATTTGTTTTATACTGAGCATAAGCTTGCCTATAAAAAATCACTTTTGACTGAGCAAAAAGGATGATCTACTTACTAAATTCTTCAATCCCTTAAATTCCCTATTTGGAATCTAGTTCAGAAATATCTACAATGGGAGATATTTAATTTTCATAAGCAGGCATAAAGAAAGAGGGAAATTCAAGCTTATACCAGAAAATGGGCTTTTCTGTTGCTTATAAGTGTATATACATTCACTGAGTTGACTTCACATCATATTTAATTTGCCATTTTATATCCTATTGGGGGGGGCTAAATCATAGCAAATCAATTTTTAAGTAGCATATTGAACTGTATTCAACTTATCAGGAATTATTAAATAGAAATTTTAATGTCTTCACTTATACAGGACAGTGCCTGGCATATAGCAGGAGTCAATATCTATTGAATTGAAGAAGGACAGTCTCAGCAGGTATGAGTGCCCCCACCAGAGCACGTTAGACTCATCAATACAAATAAGCAATCAATACAGTCAAACAAAGTTTGTGTTTGAAAAAGAAAACTTAAACATGTGAACAATCCATCAAAAAGGTCACGCATAGTGAATGTAGACGCAACTTGACAACTGGAAGCCACAACTGAATCAAGCAAACCTGCCCCACATGGCAGTAAGTCAGCCCTATGGAACCACTCTGTGATCATTAATTCCTCCCCACTCTTCTAGGAATATCTGCACCACGGTTTGTTCTGAGACATAAATACCCACTCTCTTCCTTCCAAACTATTGTTGCCAGTGTGGCAGGTGTATGCAATGGGGCAGCACGTAGAAGGAAAAAGAAGGCAATCATGCTGAGATGGGACCAGCTGAATCCCCCAATTCACGTTATGTTCCAAAATTTACTTTGTTGATGAAGAATTTCTTGAGATCTGAGTAAAATGTAAAGAACTGACAGTGGGAAGAATGAAAAAAAATATGTAGTGTATTTTATATATATATGGATAAGAGGTGAAGATGGAAGGCAGTTTTGTACCTAAAACATGAAAACTTAGTTTTTGCCAAGGTGCTGTGGCTCACGTGGCTAATTCCAGCACTTTGGGAGGCCAAGGTGGACAGACCACCTCAGGTCAGGAGTTCGAGACCAGCCTGGCCAACATGGCGAAACCCCATCTCTACTAAAAATACAACATTAGCTGCATGTGGTGGTGCGTGCCTGTAATCCCAGCTGCTTGGTAGGCTGAAGCACAAGAATCACTTGAACTTCAAGGTGGAGGTTGCAGTGAGCCGAGATCGGGCCACTGCATTCTAGCCTGGGTGACAGAGAGAGATACCGTCTCAAAACAAACAAACATCCCCAAAACTTAGCTTTTATTTTAATCTATCTGCTACAAGCTCTAAAATGACTTAAGAGGGGTCACATGAGAGTCCATCATGACCCTAAGACTGATTTTATTTATTTGTTTGTTTGAGACAGGTTCTTACTCCGTTGCCCAGGCAGGAGAACAGTGGCTCAATCAAGGTTTACTGCAGCCTCAACCTTCCTGTGCTCAAGTGATCCTCCCACCTCAGCCTCCAAAGTAGCTGGCATGATAGGTACACACCACCTTGCCCAACTATTTCTTTTTGTATTTTGTAGAGACAGTGTTTTGTCATGTTGCTCAGGCTGGTCTCAAGCAATTGCCCACCTTTGTCTCCCAATATGCTGAGTTTACAAGCATGGACCACCATGCCCAGCCATTATCCAAAGACTTTAACATAGAAATCTGGATGCTGATACATTAGTGTATGATCATATATTCACATTGTCTGGTCTGGTTAGCTTTCCCCTATATAGGGTTCAGGAGAACTTTGACAAATTATCAGGTTTTCACTTGAAATGCAGTTTCCATCCACAAGCAGTAACCCAAAATCTAACCTTCTTTACCTTTTTTCATTAAATATGATATTTTTCCTTAGAACAGAATACAAGCCATCTATTAGATCCCTGTTTTTTGGGTATATCAATTACATCCTAATTTTGCTTCTCTGAAATCACTTCTTAGCTTTCTTGATTAGACTTGGGTATTTTCTAAATCTTCTCCCAGGTGCTTATTTAGAGATTGCCTGTTAGTGCATTATTAGCAAATATAAGATTCTGGAATGGAGCTTTGTAGCATGCTCTTGTGCCACTGGCAGCCTGAAGTGCCTTCTGGAGAGGATTCGGAGGCTGTGAGCAGGGCTCTGGATCCTGCCTGCCCTATAGTGTGCAAACAGCAAATGTTTTCTAAATTGAACTGAATCCATTATGTTTTGTTTCTAGTCTCACTTTCAGAGAGAAATAGTATCTACAAGTACTGAAGTTTCCTCCCCATTTCCCAACATATTGTCACCTCCCAGAGCTTAACATTCCTAGACACTCCAGCTTGTGGCCATGTTACTACCTCTCGAAGTAGGCTCCTCTCTTGATTTTCATGACTCCACTGTCTTTTGATTTCTTCTACTTCTCAGCGCTGTCTCTTTTTTCTTCATGGACTCGCTTTCTACCATTAATACTTTGAATGTCTGTCTCCCTCCATGCTGCCTCAAACCGCCTCCCTCTTCCCTTTTGCAGATACCTGCATGAACTCACCCATGCCATGGCTGCCAGCCCTGCCCTAGTTCCTTTCAGAGCTCCAGACTCATAAATCTAGCTACCCACTCACTGGACATTGCTGCCCCATGTCCCTCTGCCATTTTCAACCTCAATGGACAAATGTGAGCTTCCTTCTTCTCATCCACTATACTGTGGAATCAATTCAACAGGTTACAACTAGCATTAAAAGAATACAACAGAACTGATGTGAGAATATCAGAAGGCATTGCTTGCAATAAAGCAGGGAACTCTTTGGGGAAATTTTTCTAAGTGTGCACTTGGTTGTGATATATAATGTTTCTTACTGTGGATCATAGTAAAAAAACCTTTTTTTTTTTCCTATTTCCTTTCCAAACTTTAACAAAAGCTGACATCTTTGGTTCTTGTCCTCTGCATGGCCTTAAATCAGACCCATGTCATCTCTTGTCCAGACTCTTAATAATATTCTCTAATTGGTCTTTCTGCCTCCAGTCTTTCTACCTATTACACCCATTCCCCACCTTCCAATCCACCCTCCACAAGCTGTTAGCAGGTTCTCTCTAAAACACGTATTTAATCATGTTACCCGTTTGTCTAACCTCCTTAGAGTCTCTAGCTAGTTGGGGGATAATATTCAAATTCTACCATCTGTAGTTAAAAGGACCCCTGAGTTCTGTATAGAGTAAAAGTATATAGTATACAGTAGTGTATGTGTTAAAAGTTAACCTTAATTATAAAATCATACAAGTATTTTTAAATAAAAAGAATGCAACATTCTACAATAATATTATGACCATGTATGCCCCTAAAATCGTAACAGGCCTTTCTTTGTAGTTTTTTACATATGAACTCAAAATCAAGATATTTCTCAGTAGAGGCTGCTAAATAAATAAAAAGTTCTTTACTAATGTAACAACCCTAAATCAAGTTAACACTTATTTTGAGAGAGGAATTTTAAGTCTTGTCTTTTCAGGCAGAAATAATATCGTCTCTTTCTTTGTTTACTCCCCGAGTACATAGGGCACATAGAAAATTCTTGTAAGTATGTTTATTAATGTATTGATGAAGGATTACATACCCTACTCTGCACATGTAATAATTCTCATTAGCAGCAACTTTCTCAGTGCCTTTAAAAAAAATCCCATTCCTTCTGTTCCAAATGTCCCTCCTTTCTTTGTCCTGTTGGCAAACTTCTGTTCATCCCTCAAAATCTGGATTGAGTATCCCGTCTTCTGAAGAAACAGGAAATTGTGGCTTCCTCTTTCCTTTGCTCTTGATTCTACTCTTGTTTGCTCTGATTCATATAAGGGAAGTCTGTCTCCCCCTTTGACTATGAGCTCCTTGAGGGAGGGGTGAATCTCCTTATTTCCTCAGTACCTGGTATGAACAGGAACTCAGTGAGTGCCAGCTAATCTGAACTGACTACTAAACATCCAATACAAATTAGTTTTTGGGGAGTCTAAAGAAAGAACAATAGTCTTTAATCTAAAGGTGTGTGTATAGTTTGCAGATATATAAATCAGTGACTTCTGATACTCTTCCAAAGCTGAGAAACCAGGAGGTCAACATCCATAACTAAATTTCATGCAGCAGCGATACTACTTGAATCGTTTTAAACAAGTTTCTTAACTTTCTGCACTTCAGCACAATATGTTTATGCCATATTTCTGCTGGAGAATTTACCATAGCACTGTGGCCCCTAACATAAAAAGTCTAAATGCCTTTATTTATTTACTCAGTATTTATTGAGGCTATACCAGCTCTGAGGATACAGCAATGAACAAAATCAAAGGCAAGTCTCTACTTTCATGAAGTTATATTCTAGGGCAAGCACCTCTGGCTCAAGTCCCTCCAACAGCTGTTTCCCTTTGCCTTCAAGGTGACTGAGCCCCATCAGGGTCTCTTAAGTTGAACCGTCAGACACTTCTCACTGTTCCCAGTTTTCTCACGCCCGACTATCTTCTCTGCCTGGAATACTCTGTATTTCTTCATCCATAGCCAGCATCCAGCCTTTGCTTTATGTTCAGCTTCAAAGGTTAGTTTCTTGAGAAAATCATCCCTGATTAACTTAACAATTATTTGTTTCGTATTTTTATTTCACATCCCACTTGGACAATGCATATGGTTTTCATGTATGTATATTTCTTGATGAGTCTTGAAAATATTTCTTGTCTTCCAAAGTTGATTATAAATTTGTTGAGGTAAAACCTGTGTCTTCTACTTTGTGTGGTGTGTGGTAGAAATGGCTTATCATCACCTAATATACATTTCCACTTTCCTCCTTTTAATACTAGAATTCCCTAAAATTTCATCTGGGTACATGGCTGCCCAGATACAGACTACATTTCCCACCCTCCTTTGCAACTAGGTAAGGCCACAAGACTAAATTCTGGCCAATGGAACGTCAGCAGGAACAATACATGCAAGTTCTAGGAATTGCTTGCCATCTACATGCTTATCCCGCTTCCTACGAACTGGAATGTGACCCTGCAGATGAAGGGTGAACCACAAAGTAATAGTGAAACAAGAGAGGTCCTCTGGGTTCCTGTGCTACCTTTTGGAGCAGACCTTTCTTATTCTACTGGATAGCCTCTGGGCATGACTTAACATAAAATTTTAATTTATATTTTGGTTTTTTAGAGATCAGAGTCTTGCTGTGTTGCCCAGGCTGGCCTCAAACTCCTGGGTTTAAGCAGTCCTCCCACCTCAGCCTCCCAAGTGCCTGGAACTACAGACATGTGCCACTGTGCCCAACTGAGCTAGATTTTGTACATTAAAACCTGCATCTTGTTTAGGCCACTGTTGCTGGTCCTTTTATAATATTCCCATATCCTAATTCATACCAGGCTTTTGCAGTAGTTCACACCGAATAATGAGTGGGATGCTAAGTGAAAATGTGATTATTTTCCTTTCCTTTGTTTTGTTTTGTTTTCACTTTTACGGGAATGTTTCATATTCTCATTCATTTGGGTTTAAAAGAGAAAGGGTGGTTCTGGTATTTTTTTCACTGAACTATACTAATTTGGGGAAAATATGTCACACTATCATACTACTCTGTTCTTCTGATATTACTGAAAAAGGCTTTTGAAAGAATTATCTGGAATAGAAATCCAAATATGGCGTTAAACAAGAGAACTTTTAAATCATCAGGAAATCTTGCAGAAACCTACAGATTGAATCTATAGGGTAATATGGTCACATTTAACCTCTCTAGCTTTTTGTGCTACCCACCAACTGCACCACCATCTCCCAGGACTGCAAAGCAGAGCAAACAACATACCTCCAAATCTCCTGAGATATTGGCACCAGCAAGAATCCCAGTAGCTGCTGGGAAAAAAATGGCAAAGACAGAGAAGAAGCCTTCCCCCTTTGTGAAGCGTGGCCCAAAGTTTTCTGCAAATATTGATGCTGCAACATAAATTATAAGAAAATTATCAGGTAGACATTTTTCATAGAGTAGAAGATTAAGTTACTGTTGGCTTCCCTAGCCCTAAATGCAAATACATTCCTATAGTCTCACTCTGTTGCCCAGGCTGGAATGCAATGGTGCAATCTTGGCTCACTGCGACCTCTGCCTCCCGGGTTCAAGCACTTCTCCTGCCTCAGCCTCCCAAGTAGCTGGGATTACAGATGCCCACCACCATACCCAGCTAATTTTTTTGTATTTTTAGTAGAGATGGGGTTTTGCCATGTTAACCAGGCTGGTCTCAAACTCCTGACCTCATGTGATCCACCTCCCAAAGTGCTGGGATTACAGGAGTGAGCCACAGTGCCCAGTCACATTCCTATAGTCTAAATGCAGTGAACTTGAAGATATGGTGTACTCCTGAGGACTTTAGGTTAATATTTGTCAAAAGTCAAAATATGTATCATAAGGTTTTAGATCTCTATGACATAGCTCTGAAAAATCAATTTTTGCGCCAACAGAGATCCAGGCTGCCTAACTTTTTTGAATCTAGAAAAGGTTGAAAGAGGAGAAGATGAAGAATTCTCTCATGACCACCCTGGAATGCCCACAATGACACCACCACCCGCATCCACACACATACACAACTACATTCTCACATGTATCAATACCATAAACAATCAACACACTGGTGTTCTATGCCTTTTTTTTGTAGCTGAAGAGCCTTGTGGGTGCGTCTACTTTACAACTTTGTTACAAATATACTAATCTTTTTACTCTTCACTTCCAGAGATTAGATCTTCGATGCTTATATCAAATCCTCAGTATGGGAGAATAGTATGTTGAGGAGCTTTGCTAATGAAATAATACCATTCCACAGGTTGTCACCAAATTACTCAGATAGAAAGGAAACAACCTAGAAGAACAACAGAAGGAAAAAAGAGAAAAGAGGAGGAAGAAAAATGTGGACAAAAGAACCTGGGATATAAAAATAGGGAAAAAGGCTTAAAGAAAAAAATCTGACAGGAGTGCAAAGGAGGGAAAATAATAGAAAGGAAAAGGATGTTAAGATGCAAAGCAAACCGGAAAGTCTTTATGGAGAAAAAGAATCAGGAAGAAAGAGGTATGTGATATCAAAAAGAAACAAATACTGACAACCGAGTAAATAATGAAGGGAAAGATTTAAAAACTCAGCCGTGGATTCTTGAGGAAGCTAGAGGGGAAAGACAGGCGAAAACAGATAGAAGGAGTAAAAGAAAAAGAAGTCAAATTTCATGCTCAGTGATGTTGTCACAGGATGCTACACCAAGTAACTCCTACAATCTTTTCTGCCTGAAAACCTGACAGTGATGCTTAACTGGGTAATGCTATGGGAAAGCAAGGTGCAAACAAGTCTAGCAGGAAGAAAGAAATGACTACGTTTGACTTTGGTGCTCTGCAGCGGTTGAACAAACTGAGCTGTGTTTCTCTCTTTCTACTATTTGATAGTAACAACAAAAGATTTACAAAGCACTTTCACATCCACTGTCTGACTCGTTTCTCAAAATTCCCTCAGGAAGTTCTTATTATCGTCCACATTTTGGCAGGAAAATCTGCAACCCAGTCACATTAGGAGTTCAGTCCAGCTGGTAAGTGGCAGTGTTGAGACCCAACCTTGTGTCTCCTGAATCCAACTCCAGGCTCTTCCCTGGAGAAATTTACTATCCATTTTATCACTACTTAATTATCACTAGTTCAACTCAGAGATTTGCTGGTTTGAAAGCCTATGGTGTGCCCAAATTTTCTGGTGAAGCACTGGGTTTCAGAAGAGAATGATAGTTTTTGCCTCTCTTATGTTCCTCCAACACACCCGCCATTTCTTTTGGGCTTCCGCACCCACAGGTGGCTTGAGAGGAGAACCAGACATTCCAATGGCTGGCGTTGGGGTGATGGGGATGGTGATGAGGAAGGCAATGGAGAAGGATTTAATGAAAAACAGCCAATGTGTTCCATGTACCTTGGTAATTAAAGAAACCTCTGGACTTCTTCTCATTGTTGGATGGAATGACAGTTCCAATGAAGAAGTTTGCAATGGCAATGAGAAGAATGACCAGAAGAATCACTTGGGCCTGGAATAACAAGGTAAAAGGAAAGCAAATTAGATTTATTTAACAACTTTTTGCATAATTATAAAAGTTGTAAGTGTCTACTGCAGAAAGGCTCTATCTGATTATTTCAGTTATGTCTCTGCTACCAGAGTAGGTAATAAGTGCATCCTTATTAAAATGGCATCTAAATAGGCCTTATTCTACTTCGATGTATAGACCTCATTTTGAATAGAGTATGGGTTTGGGCACTTGAAGGTGACATTTCTGTAACATTCTAAGTAGCAGGTGGGTAACTTCCACCATTGTCCCAGGAATGTAAATGAAGCCAAAAGTTTTAACACTGATAGACTTTAGGGGGGTTTTGTTTGTTTGTTTGTTTTTAGAAGAGCACTTGTGGGTTGTTTCTGTTTCCAGTGCTAACTGCAGGGGTTCGAGAATGCAGAATGATGAATAGAATTCCTGCGATGCCCAGTGCACTTGATGTCAGGCTGCTGGTGTGTGCTCAGCACAAGCAGTCTGCAAGGTTTGCTGGCCAGATGGTCTTCCTTCAGCCCTTCCAATGTTGCAAGGTGTTTATGGCTTGGTGTTGCCATATGCTGTTTCCTTTACCTACAAAGTACTTCACTCTATTCCTTGCATGGCCATTTCCTTCTTTTCATCCTTTAAATCTCAGTTACTCCTCAGAGAGGCCTTTCTTGACCATTTAATCTTTTATATTTTATTTAATTTTGTTTTCCTGAGACAGAGTCTTGCTCTGTCACCCACGCTGGAATGCCATAGTGTGATCTTGGTTCACTGCACTTCCACCTCCTGGGTTCAAGCAATTCTCCTGCTTCAGCCTCCTGAGTAGCTGGGACTACAGGCGCACGCCACCATGCTCGGCTAATTTTGTATTTCTAGCAGAGACAGGGCTTTACCATGTTGGCCAGGCTGGTCTCGAACTCCTGACCTCATGATCCACCCACCTTGGCCTCCCAAAGTGCTGGGATTACAGGTGTGAGCCACTGCGCCTGGCCCATTTAATCTAAATAATAACAGTTACCTGGTCACTGAGGGCTTACAATAGAACAGATGCAGATTTAACTTTATCTGTATTCTTTTATGTAAATAAAACCATTAACAAACTGACAGCTTTATGAAGTAGGCAATATTATTCTCCTCATTTTAAAGATAAAGATGCTGAAGCACCGAAAGTTTAAGTAATTCACTGAAGACCACAGAGATATAAACTGGATGGAAATTCAGGCTCTCTAACTAAAGAGCTAGAGCTTTAAATGTACCCTCTACTGCTACTAAACTTCACTGCCTCACTCAGGGAATACAGTTATCTGAAGTAGGGTTCTCCTGTGTTTTTTCATCACGGTGTCTTGTTGATTCTACTTTTCACAAATTATCTTTTTATATTTATTTATTTGTTTGCCTATTATTCATCTCTTCATAGACCATACGTAAGGATTAAGCCCGTTTCGGTCACAGGTGAATATCTAGTGCCTAGAAGAATGCTTAACATGTAGTAGGCACTTACTTAATTTCTGTTGACTTGTGAATGCATAATCTACAAATAAATGCCATGTAGGAATGTTTTCTATTGACTTACACAAGTGGGAGGCTTTGGCTGTCTTTCTAGGCCTGATGACCACCTGAGATCTAGCTACTTTATCCACAGGCATGTAGGATTATTTTCAACTACACCCATCACTTGAGGGAATTACAAAGGAGGCAAAAGACATGTTTCTCATCATTTAGAAATTTGCTATCCATTTTATCACTAAACTCACAGGGTTTCTGGTTCTAAAGCCTATGATTTGCCCACATTTGCTGGTGAGGTACTGGGTTTCAGAACAAAATGTTAGTTTTTGCCTCTCATATTCTCCCAACACACTTGTCATTTCTCTTGGGCTTCTGCACCCACAGGCAGCTCGAAAGAGGAACTGGGTTTGTGACTGAGAGACCCAGGTTTCCACCGTGCTCCACTGCTGTGGTCATAAGGGGTCTGGGTATAAGGCAGCCACCTTGATGACAGCACAAAGACATAAAACACAGCGGTCATGTGACTTGTGAGCCTGAGTCATGACTGCTTGGGCTTTGCGCTTTGCAGGCTTGGTGTTCCACCTAGCACTTGCCTATTCATTTCACCATAGCAGGTAATAACAGCAATTCTTTTTGAATACGGGGTTCCTTCTACTCCTGCAATTTGTTCAGGACCTGACCAGCCATTGTTGATAACATCATTTTTGAGAAATTTACCTTTGCCTCCCATTCCATTCCAGCTACTGAAATTCCTAGAAGAATCACTACTGTGATGGAGCCTATAATCCGGATGTCATTGGTTGGATCCACCATCATCGAATCACTCTCCTGGGGAAAAAATTATTAAATGGTTAGAGATACAGCTTTTTGTATGCGAATCTTATTGCAGCATTTAGCAGCAAAAAGAGACACTATACAATTATACCTGGGGCCATATAGGTAATAGAAAAATGGAGTATTCATACATTTATGAAGATAAAAACTTGGCATTTTTTTTTCTGTGATAATAAGGCCTTTGATAGTCAAGGTTAGAAGTTAGACATTTTAGAGATTCATTCTAGCTTTTGAAGCTGTTGTAGTACTAAGGAAAAATATGTATACACATACATATTGTGTTTTATTTCAGAAGAATGACTAGCTGTTTCTGTCTGTCAAGGAGAATCCTAGGGGAATAAAAATGAGTGTTTTACAGTATAAATACTGAAAATTAAGTGGTGTACTATTTAAGAACAGATGACACAAACCTGATAATGCAAGTCTTGAAGATTATGTACCTTATGAACTGTAAGCTCATTTATTTATCTAATTTTTATATAGAGGCACTTTCACCAATTAAATTCGGTGAACACTATTGTTACTATGAGAAAAGGGCTGGAAATCAGTTGATATATCATCTAAGTAATGTGCTTGCACATACAACATCCTAGACAGGGCACCTAAACTAGGAAATGGCTAGTTTTCTGGTAAGTTATTTTAATTTTTTTAAATTAAAAAACATTTTTTTTTTTTTTTTGAGATGGGGTCTCTCTTTGTTGCCAGCCTGGAGTGCAATGGTGTGATCCTGGCCACTGCAACCTCCAGCTCCTGGGTTCAAGTGATTCTCCCAACTCAGCCTCCCGAGTAGCTGGGATTACAGGTGTGTGTTACCATGCCCAGCTAATTTTTGAATTTTTTGTTTGTTTCTTTCTTTCCTTTTTTTAAAAAAATTTTTTCTATTTTTAGTAGAGACGGGGTTTCACCATGTTGACCAGGATGGTCTCGATCTCTTGACCTCGTGATCCATCCGCCTCGGCCTCCCAAAGTGCTGGGATTACAGGTGTGAGCCACCACGCCTGGCTGAGTTATTTTAATTTTAAACTTTCTTTCCTTTTGGAAATCTATAACCATAATCTTAGTATTACTGTTGATGGCAATATCCGTTATTTATCTGATGTTTCATATTTTACACAATATTTCATGCACATTATTTCATTTGATCTGTGCCACTCTTCTGTGAAATACATATAACAGTATTATTAACCCGTATTATACATTCGGGAAACAAAGTTCAGAAGAAAAGAGGAAGTAATTCAAACTTTCTTGAATGGTAAAGGTGAGAACCTGGGCTCAAAGCCAGATCTTCTGATGCCAAGCCCAGGCTCCTACCACTATATTTGATGTTTTTCCTCTCATTTAGTTCTAATGATATTGCCTAGTGCCCTAAGAAGGCAAACTAAACTAAATTATCCTGCTTGGAAGAAAAAAAGAAAAGCTTTTAATTACCTTAAGAAGATCTACTACAGTCTCAGCAAATCCCACCACATACATAGCAACAGCGACTGCATTAGCAAAAGCAAAGATCAGGCCTATTGACCCACCGAACTCGGGCCCTAAACTTCTGGAAATAAGATAGTAGGCCCCACCTGAAACAAGAAATGAACATACTTTACATTGAGGAACTCCTAGTATATATGACCAAATGATTATGAACATCTGAGAACATTTACAGCGTGAATTATTTCAATAACAGTATCACCACTTCCTAACAATTTTTGGAATCCTGGTTTACCCCAATGAATAACTTAGCCCTTCTTGGTACTCTCTACTTGATCTGCAATAGAGGTATCCTGACTTAATAAAATACAATCTATTAAAATCTAAATGTAAAAAGGCTACAAATAAGAACACAGCAAACTTTACCAAAAAATGTGTTGTCTTCTTAAAAATATCACTGGAGGATTCAAATTAATAATGCAACTGAAGTAAAATTTTATATCCAAAATCTCTAGGAGTAGGAAAGTCTAGGTAGAAAATGAAGTAGGTGAGGTTTATATTTGTTTTTCTAACTTCCTTTCTGTTGTGTATATACGTTATATATATACATATTTTCAGATATATGTGTGCCGAATAAAACAAGATATCTGTATAGTGTGACGTATTATCCATTCTATTAAACAAACTTGCTCTTCTATGTTTTTAGCTCCAGAAGGGATTATTATTGCTCAATACTCATATATGTATGGGTGTAGCAAGGAGGTCCCTTGCCTGTTGGCCACTGAGAGTATGTGTTTGGGGGTGGTGAGTAGGAAGAAAAGCAGGGAGGGTTTGGAACAATTACTTCGCCCTTGAACACTGAAAAGGTAGTTCTTTTAAATATATATAATACTTCTGTGCACGTGAAGGATGGAACTAGATTGGTCAGCTGCCTAGAGGGTACCTAGGGCAGCTTACTGAGGGTGAAAAGGACTAGATGTTAGGAGGTCTTACTATCACAGACCATGGTAAGATTATGGCTTGCTATACTAAGCTGGCATTGAAGGTGGGTACAGGTGGCACAGGAATGACAAACACGCCCAAAAACAAAACAAAATTACTTTTTTTTTTTTTTTTTGGTGGGGTTTCATCATGATGGCCAAGCTGGTCTTGAACTCCTGACCTCAAGTGATCCACCCACCTCGGCCTCCCAAAGTGCTAGGATTACAGGCGTGAGCCACAGTGCCCGGCCGCACAAAATTACTTTTTACTGAGAAGAAATTTCTTTCACTATAGTAACTCTTTTGGGCTCAGGGGTCAAAGTCCTCTCTAAAAATGTAACATATAGTCTGGGTGAAGCAAATCCCCCTTATTTCCTTTATACAGGTTACCTTAAACAAATGAGCTAGCCAGTTACCTAGGTGAGCTGGGTCAACAAGAGAGACAGGCAGAAGTTGACAGTGGAGGTGTGTCCTGGGCAGGATGGTGTTTTAGAAGGCCCTGAGTAGGAAGACCTGGATAAGGTGCCCAAGCCGATAACCAGAGAAACCAAAGGGGAAGGGGAGGGGCCACAGAGGAAGCTAGAAGAACACGATACATTTCATCCATTTCACTTTCTGCCTAGGCCTGCTTACTCCGAGATGATTTGAAAATAACTCTTTGCTTATGTATTTATTTATTCCCTTTTAATGATATTCCCTTGCCTGTTGGCCATTGGGAGCACAGTGTTTGGGGTGAGCCTCGAGGCCTGAGTGCAGGAGTGGTTTACTGAGTAGGAAGCATCAGCAATGCCAACTGGAGCACTTGAGAAGACCCACGCTGACGGGACCGGCGAGAGAGCCAGTGGGTCTCATCCAAGGTACAAAGAAGCCATATATTTTGCTATAATATTCCATACCTTCTTAGCAGACACATAGTCACTCTCCACTTTATAAACATGTCTCATCACAAGAAATGGGTCATGTCAATGAAGATATTCTAATTTTAGCTGAGAAAAATTTGCTTTGCTGTTTAAATTTTGGATTATTTTGTTTTGTTTTAGGACACTGGTGATTAATTAGCAATATGTAAATTTCACTACCAATAGTAAACTAACTCCAGACATGACTAGTTACCAAGCCTCCAGTCATAAGTAAATTAATCAGCTTACCTCCTCTTACTACTCCATTCGTGCAAATAGCAGACATAGAAATACCTGTGAGTGTCGTCACGACCACACTCAGGCCAATGATGATGACTCCAAGACCTGCAAAATCCCCCAAGAAAGGTGTTTGGTTCCAGTACTGACAGAAGTCACCAGTACTTCAGGAAGCAGCAGTCTGAATCTCATCACAGAAAGGTCCCCCTCCCTGTGAAAATCTGAAATGTTCTAAAGAATCCCATTTCATGAAGGTCTAGGAAGCGCCTGAAATGTACTAAACTTTAAAACTGAAGCCAAGGCTGAGAATCATTTTCCAAGGAACATCAGCTAGACGTGTGCAGATAGCCTGAAAAAGAAAACGTTTACCCAAGGGAGGTGCACATCTATAACGCACGACCTACAATGTGCCAGAGAGATCCGTTGGAAAAGAGGCCAGAGAAGACCAGGACTATTCTAAGTGTACCTTAGGCTTCCTTCGGCATCCAGCTCCGCCAAATAGCCAGGCTTCAAGAACACGGGGCTACTTCCTTGTTCCCATCAAAAAGAAGTATAAAAAATTGTTTGCCTACCCGTAGCAAGTGATGAGGGCATTAGATATCTTAGAGATTTTACCTCCACGGACAAACCCGTTAGTTGCTATTGCAGAAGTTGACAACCCAGTAATAGAAGTTACCATGGTGGAAAGAAGAATTATGAGAACTCCAAGACCTGTTAGCAATGAAAGATAGAAGATATTGCATTTTACTTTTCTTCCTTGGATTCCCTATTGCTGCAAGCTACACTGCCTTTAATTTAAGTTTTCAGGTCCATCCCTCGGGCTCCAACGGGGTTTCTCTGTGCTAAGGAGAAACTGGTTTGCCTGGCATAAGGATCAAGTCGAAGAACTGCTCATTATGATGAAGGATGCTTTCCAAAAGTAAACACAATCTAAAGTGCGGCCTTGGAAAGGAAAAGTTGACTTATGCTGGTGTACTGGGAGAGAGACTCTCCTGGTTGTGAAAAGAGAAAACATGGCATTTGACCTTCTTTCTTGCTTGAAGGAACCTGAATGAGAAAGTTGGGGGTTTGACAAAGGTTAATTCCTTCCCCATTTTTCTTACATCTCTTTGCCTGATGGGGGAAAAGGAACCAACTTGTATTACCTTTGAAAACACTCCAGAAAGGTCAGTGGTGAACTATTAGAGCCTGTGTTGCCTTTACCTTACAAATGATGGTGCGGGTCACAAGTTTAATTACCTCCTCTGACATATCCATTTGTGGCAATAGCAGAGGTGGATAAACCAGTGATACCAGTCACTGTCACGGCTAAGCCGATGATAATCACACCAAGACCTCAGTTGAAAGAGGAAAAATAAAGGTATTAAATGGTGGAAGAATTCATTGGATCATTTACATAAAAGCCAACATATCTAGGGTAAACATCAAAGGACCATATTTGAGTTTAACAGTTTGGCCAGGAAATCACCATGGAGTACATGCTTAGCTTTGAAGTTTTCTGCTTGTAGTAGCTCAGGTTCCAGAAAACTCAAGAGCTAAAATGTGCAGTACTAAGTTGTACAAAACAAAACCACTAGGGCTGGTCAAAATTTAATGTGAACCCCATCTTATTATTATTATTATTATTTTTGGAGACAGTCTTACTATTTTTTTCAGGCTTGTCTTGAACCCTTGGCCTCAAGTCATCCTCCTGCCTCAGCCTCCCAAGTAGCTGGGGCTACAGGCTTGCCCTATTGTACTTGACAGAATCCCATCTTTGAAGAAGTTCTAGGCACCTATAAACATGATAATTGGCCTACAATTCCAAGCTGTCAGCATAACTAGAGATTAAATGTTCACCCTTCCAGGCTACTATCTTTTTATGTACATTTGTTCACACAGGGGTGGAGAACTACATACAGTATAGCAAATTATTCATCTGACAGATGGGTAAAGTGGAAAGAATCAAATTAAACGACATTAACTTATTGACTGTGTGAATTCTGGAAAGTTACTTATTATTATAAGTCATTTTAAATAAATAACTAAGCCAAAAATAGCAATGAAATTAGAAAGAATGCACGTGTAAAGTGGCTAGCATAGCCCATGGAACACAGTACACAATGGTATTGCTTTTTGATCATATCCACAATAGTCATAATATTTATTGCTTTTTAAAAACCTACTATAGACCCATCTTTGTGGCAGGTAATGCAAGAAACAGAAGGCACAAATAAAATGAAATTTAAAAACCTGCTCCAAGGATTTTATGGCTCAGAAGCTTGAAGATTAGAAGAAGAGGGAGAAAATGGTAGAGGTCAGAATTGAAGGAAGGTGTGACTGCTTTGAGCTTCAAAAAACACATAGCTAGGAGGGTACAGAAGGTTAACAGAATATACCACTTTGGCATAAGAATTATTTGGAGCTGAGACAACAGAAAAGAAGCAGATACAAGAAAAGCTCTCAATCCCCTTTCTATTTATCTAAAAACAGGACATAAATTTCTCCTCCCTCCCCTCTCTACCAGGAAGCAGAGAAGCTGGTCACCAGAGACAACTTTGAACTCTGATCAGCCTGACAAGGCACCACAGCCATCTACACAGCAAGCTATGCTAACTCTCATCTTCCATTCCCTTCCCTATGTATTTACCTTGCCACCATTTGCCACCCTATGATTAAAAAGTCCTTTTCCTTTGTTTTGTCACCTCTTTACAATTTAATTGTTCTTTCGTTAAGATGATATGTAAGCCCATGTTCTAACCACCCCTTTAAGTCACTCATCACTGAGTGCTCCCATGTGTATGTACCATGTACATGTTAATAAATTCTGTTTTTCTCTTACCAATCTGACTTTTGTCAGCCTAATTTATAGGCCCCCAGCCAATGAACCTAAGATGGGTAGAAGATAACCATTTTTTCTTCCCTACAATACCCTCTTTAATGGAGGCTGACTCAGAATTCAGGGAGAGGGCTGCGGAGTTACAGCCACTGAACTCACCCTGGCTCCATCCAGAATGCTCTGGTTTGGGCTCTTTGGTAAGCTCCCTCATGTAAAGTTAATGCTCCATAGTTGTTGGCAGGCTCTCTTGTCCCAAGGATGGTTAGAAGGGTAGTTAGCCAAGAGAGGCTGTGATCTCTCTGGCCATGCCCCAAGAGAAGGGAAAGTGGAAGGATGTTAAGGGAAGCAATGGGAATAAGTCAAGGTATTAAAGGCTGGTTCTTTTGCCCTTGGCCATCCCCTGGCTCTAACAGGAGACTTTAGGCTATTTTGCAGGTTAAAGAACAGTATGAAGAGGCTAAGGACAGGCTGCAAACTTGGACCACATTGCTTTGGACCCTGTAGACTCTTAAAAGCTAGAAGTAATAAAAAATAGTTGCACTAAATTAATTCTTCATATCTATTGCAGGGATACTATGGTGAGCAGTGCCTCTATATAACTATGTGGCTTCAGGTCCTTGTGCCACTAAAGGTGATTTATTTTGCATTTGTTTTGCTCCTGACTTTTTTGGAAGAGGCTTGACAGAGAGTGTTTAGCATACCCCAGAAACTCTACAGGACCATATAATTTGCATTTCATAACATTAAACCTACTCCAACCTTATTATTTCCTTGCTGTTATTTTCCTTTTGACTCTAATTTTCTCAACAATTCTTAATTCATCCTTTTGCATTGTATATATTTCTACAAACCATTTGAAATCTTTGAACAAAGTTTTATACTTTTGAACAGCAAGGGATTTGCTTCTTTCTCACAACAAACATAAAATCCCAGGGTAGAAGGCAGCTTGGAGAACATTCAGTTCATTGTTTCTGAAATTGTGGTTCTTGAACCACCTGCTTCAGGAAATGCCTGGGGTGCTTATTAAGAATGCTTAGACCTACTGAGTTGGATCTTTAAAAGTAAATCCCAGGATTCTGCAGTTTCCTAACCTAACTTTCCAGATAATTCTTTTGCATCCCACAGTAAGACAACTAAGCACCCTTAGCCTATCTCAACTTGTGTCTACCTGTTCAGAAAGGTACTCTAGCTTTATCTTCAAAGAATTCATTGCTCCTTAATATTTAGAAAAGAAAGGGAAACACTGAATATAGGTGACTTGCTTCCGGTCATACTGGCTTTTCACACCCAACTTCCTTGCCTGATGGTTAAAATTTTTGGAAACCATCTTGCCCCAGCAAGGTCTCCAAGACAGAGAAGAACAACTAAACAGCATTATCAGCTCATTCCACCCTTTGCTTTTGGGAACACGGCCGTCAAAACTAGTAGCCCAGAATGGTTTCACAAGGGCTATAGCTACTGTGACTCTTGGCTCCAGATTCCTCTGGCTCTATTCCCAGGGTCTGGGCTTAAATATGTATTCAGATTTCTTCCTCAATCTACCCCCAAACGAAGAACAAATAGATGTAGTTGTTTCTTTTCTTCCCCAACAAGGAAAACCCAAATGGGACCCAGACAGCAACTTAACTCATTTAGTTTTAGGTTCATAGCAAAGGCCAGTAAAACTGAGTAAGGTTGACAGTAAGTTTCTAGTACTCACTAAAGTCTATCTTCTGAGAATGAATGAATGAATGAAAGGAAGAATGAAAGAAAGAAAGAGAAAGAAAGAAAGGAAGAAAGAAGAAAGAAAGAAAGAGAAAGAAAGGAAAAGAGGCACAAGCCTCCATTCAAAGGAAACCCCATCGAACGCTTATTAGGTAGACTTTTACTCTCTTCTAATTTATAATTTAACTACTTTAATAAAAAGATCTTTACTAAAATTAATGTCTGATAGTATAATAAACCATTTAGCAGAAGATAGCATTCTTCATACTCCACAATTTTGCAATAAACTCAAAACTGGGTTGACTGTGAAGAGTAATGTAAGATCTGATTAAAGTTCAGATTATTGCCCAAACATATGGATGTTAAATAAGTTGCATTAAAAAGAATCACTCTTGCCCTTGGCTACTCTCACACCTCCAAACAAAGTAATGTTTCTTGATGATCTCAATAAGTTACTAAACTGCCCTTAAAAACCTAATTTTGCATGAAACCCTGGAGCAAAACCTTGGCAATATTAAGATGCAGATTTTCCATGGAATGGCATATACTTATTTTGGACCCTGTGGCTGTGAGCATTCATTTGCTATGCATCATAAAACCGGCAAGCAGCCCTCTGTCAGGAACCCAGCAGTTGCCAAACATGAAACATGGAAAAACTATGGGAACTGGCTCCAGTTTTTCAATTTACAGCTTAGCCCTTTCTTTTTTGAGTTAGTCTTCCTGTGATGCTGAATGTGTTTTGAGGAGCAAAGGCAATAAATAATGACCAACTACCTTTTAAAATGTGAATTGAGATACCTTTTGGAGTGCTATCTGAAAGCACAATAGAACTTCCATACTCTTGAGACTGACTGTTCTCTCAAAAGTGAATTCATAATGTATTTCCCATATATGGAATAGAACATCATTAATTTTTATCTCATTAAATGGGAAACTTTGATAAAATTCAATTACATTTTTCATAAAAATTTTACTAATATACTTTCAACAAAAAAGATTTGCTAGAAGAAATAATATTTAAGATAGAATGTAATATTTAAAACATCAGCTAATCGCTGGGCACGGTGGCTCACGCCTGTAATCCTAGCACTTTGGGAGGCTGAGGTGGGTGGATCACCTGAGGTCAGGAGTTCAAGACCAGCCTGGTCAACATGGTGAAACCCCATCTTTATATTAAAAAAAAATCAGATAATCACTTAAAATAATGTCATTATTATCCATTTTTCATTTAGAAAAAATAACAGTAACATACATTATCTTAGTCATTTCATCTATCACTTTAAGCTTATATCTGGCAATAACCTTTGTTTTCTTACTGCTGGTGCTTGAAAATAACACAATTACTTTCTTTGGAAAAAGTTCAACAATTCAGCATTTTTATTAGTCAGGTCACATTTTCACCAGTTTTCCCACAAGTTATTTTTATTCAGTGAAGTTTTACCAATTATTACAAGAAGGATACTCTGTAACAAATGAGAGGCAAATGTCAGTATGTCCCCAAATACAAATATTATTACCTAAAATTAACCTGCTATTATATATCCGTATACCTATAACTCTATCAAAAGACAGAAACATCTCCTAGATCATTCACCTGTTTGGCAAGCTGGAAAATTCCAGTTTCATAGGAGTTAACTCTTCACCTTTTCTTTCTGACAAACATCATCAAAGAAGCAAAGTAGAAGGTGCCCAAGTGTAAATTATTTCTGTGACCTTCGTCTCACATTTAGCATTAATGGAGAAAACAGGTTGCTCATTGAATTTATAATTTACATAGAAAACTACTTAGGAGGGGAAAAATGCTTACCAATTCCAGCTTCTCCAACAATCCAGGAGAGGCGAATGAAGAGCATGACTCCCCAGATATTCAGCATGCATCTTACCTGCGGATAGAAGTGGTACTGAAAAAAGACAGGACAAACAACAGTGGGACAAAACCCGGAGCTCTTCATAACCCTGTGCCCAGGACTTGATCACTCTTAACCCACCAGAACACTGAATGAATGGTTTTCATTTGTAAACAGAGGAGCTTTCTCACCAGCACACCTTTCACCCATCCAAACTTCACGACACCAGCTTGATCATCTTCCTTATTCTCAGCTTGTTCATCTCCAGGTATCCCATCACCATTAGCAACTCTGTCAGCCGAACTTGGGGCGACTGCCACATTCTGCATTTTGTAGATAGCAAAAACACAGTAGTTGGTCAATGAACAATGGTTCCATAAAACTTTTCACAGCACATCAAAATGATTGAAATAAAACTTAAAAAAAAAAACCCAAACTAAATATATTCTGGTCATTTTAATGAAATTTTTATTTTTTGCCCCAAAAGCTGAAAGATACATTTTGTGAGTGATTTTAAAGTGTTTTTAAGGCTATAGGGGTGGTAAAGGGAACCTGAGACGTTCTTCCACTAATGGGAATACTTCCTTTGGTGAAAAGTCAGATTTGGATAAGTTTAGCACATAAAGAGAACTTAAGAGAGAAGGGCTACAAGGAAGGAACAGCCAGAGTAAATGAGGGTCTTTGGGAGTCATGTTACAACCAAATAGAGAAACTTCCTGAGCTAAGCAGAGGATCTGCACTTCTTTCCGTGAACCTCTCTGTACTTCATTTTATTCCTTCATCCATCCATTCATCCATCTATCCGTCTGTCCATCTATCTATTTTTTTGAGACAGTCTTGCTCTGTCACTTAGGCTGGAGTGCAGTGACGATCTCAGCTCACTGCAACCTCCGTCTCCTGGGTTAAGGTGATTCTTATGCCTCAGCTTCCTGAGTAGCTGGGACTGCAGGCACATGCTACCATGCCCAGCTAATTTTTGTATTTTTAGTAGAGACAGGGTTTCACCATGTTGGCCAGCATGGACTTGATCTCTTCACCTCATGATCTGCCCCCCTCAGCCTCCCAAAGTGCTAGGATTACAAGCGTGAGCCACCGTGTCCGGCTGACATGTTTTCTAGACAAAACAAAAAAGTTTAAAGTATTCTACAAAAGTTTAAATGCACTGGATGATGACAAGAATGTTATTCCCATAGAAGTTTCTTTGAAATTCAGTTATGCCTTTGAGAATTGTTCAATGTGCTAGTGTCTTATAGAAGACGTTTCATAACTGATTACTAGTTGAATAGAAATAAGAAGTAGGTAGTATAAATAAGGGTTTAAACTTTTATATAGTTTTTTTTTTTTCCTGTGGTTTGATTTTGAAAAAGACTTCCCTTTTCATTAAGATAGTATCTGAGTTCAAGATGGTAGAAAACAGTTCCTTTTCTGTCAAATTGAGAATAGTCCTCTATTTCAAATTTCTTTTTAAGATATGACTTTGAATAATTTCAAATGCATCTATTTAATTTAGCTTATCTGGCTTCTACCTGGCTCTTTGTGAAGACTGTACTTCTTTGAGCTTTGAAAAAGGTTTCTTTTCTAGGAAAGATTTTGAAATTACTGGGGAAGACTATTAGATTGAGCCCTCAATTACCATGATTATAGAATGACTATATCTGATTTAAGTGGTCTAAACTGGTTTAAGTCCAGGATGATATGTTCTGATGACTGCTAGTTAAGAAGTCTTGGACAAAGGCATTTTTCCTCCTTTAAAATGGGACTGGTGTGAAATAAACATCCACTTTTATTATCAAAGCTTCATTTTAGGATGACTGAAACTCCTGCCCTTGCCATACTCAAAGGCTCTTGCTTCTTTGGGCTAAAGTATAGCTTACCCATGGCAAACTACCCTCATCTGGGCTATATACCCCAAATGACTTTGACTTCTTGTCTTCTTCCACCCTGTTCTTCTTGTCTTTTTATTTAGTTATTTACCCTTCCTGAAGTAAGTGCATTTTCTTTGTCTTTGTAAGGATTTCTCTTCAAACTTTCTTCTTCCATGAGACTTTGTTCATGATACTATGGTGACACTTGGATAACCAACATAATACAGTGTCATAAGAGTCACTGTGTGACAAGTGAATCAGAGAAAGATTTAGCGCTTAATTACCATTACTATAGGATGATTTTAAATCGTGGGTTACTTTTTCTCAGTAGCAACCAAAGGCTTGCCATAGAGCAGGCCATCAATAAACAATGCTGAATCAGTCGGGTACAGTGACCAATGCCTGTAATCCCAGCATTTTGGAAGGTTGAGGCAGGAGGATTGCTTGAGCCCAGAAATTTGAGACCAGCCTAGACCACATGGCGAAAACCCAACTCTACAAAAAATTTTTAAAAATTAACTGGGTGTGGTGGCATGCACTTGTAGTCCCAGCTACTTGGAAGGCTGAGGTGGAAGGAATGCTTCAGTTGGGAAGGTCAGCTGCAGTGAAACACAATCGTGCTACTGCATTCCAGCATGGGTGATGGAGTGAGACCCTGTGTCAAACAAACAAAAACAATAACAAAACAACACTGAATTCATAAGGTGGACTTGAAAGTTCATGCTCTCTACCACTTAGGAGCAGATTTCCTAGTTTCTTCTCCATTCTTGCCTCCTACTTATCTTTCATCTCTACGGGACAGTTCATTTCTTATTGTTTCTTCTGGGCAGGTCACATTTAAAAGGGGAGAAAGAGGGAATGAATCCTAAGACAGATTATTATTTTCTGACAGTATTGGGAAAAAATGAAACAACAGAGGAGACTGAAGTTAATAATTAAAATTTAGTTTTTAATTACCTGAGGAATATGTTAATCTTAGATATCCTCAGTCCCTATTTGCACACATAATTAAAAGCTAACATAATATATTCACACCAATGTAAGAAAAAATGCAGTCCGAAAAATTGAGGCTAACCTGGTGGGGCAGAAACTGGTAATCTATCAGCTACAAATGCAGACCAAGTATGTAATTCAAAATTTTTTACTTTTTAAGAAGTAAAAAGAAATTGGTGCAATAAATTGGGTTTAGATATGGACCCTTGCATTTTAAGGATTTATTTAATCTTTAATATATTTAATCTTTGGAGAATATATTTCTAATATTTGCAATATAAGTATTTATTAGCAATAGGTGCACCCCAACTTGTAGGGAACTGAATCACAGGAGTATTTTAGTATTTTACTTAATAAAATATATATAGAATATTATTTCAACATATAATCAGTATAAAAGTATTAGGAAATATTTTACATTCCTTTTTTAATATTAAGTCTTTGATATTCAGTGTGTACATCTCAATTTCGAATAGCTACGTTCCAAGTGCTCAATAACCCCATGTGGTTACAGGCTACCATATTGGACAGCACAGGTATACACTATGCAGTCAATTTCAGATGCATGAAACATTGGAGGCTGCTTTTCAGTCCATTAAAAATTCTATTTTCCTCTGAAATAATTCTATACACACATGGCAGCTGAAAAGGTCACATATAACTTTCATTTTCTCATAACTAAAATGTATAATCAATGAGAACAAGGAATTGAGGGATGTGTTAAAATGTCCATGAATGTTGAAGAGATTATTTGGTTAGGAGATCCATTTATTTGGTTTGATTTGAGAAAAACTTTTTTAAAAAATTATCAATATTCTAGTTTATCAAGATCCCATGGCCAGACCATCAGCAGCTACTACCTTTGGGAGAGGGCAATTTCTTTTTTTTTTTTTGTAGATTAATTGGGGATCCCAAGAGACACAGCCTTAGTCTCTTGCCTTTTTTAAAGATAGTCTTGGGAATAAAACCCATGTTTTCTGACTAGACTTGAATATTTGGACCAGGAAGTTGCTCTGCTACCTGATAAACTCCAAGGCTGCCTATGACCGTTCGATATGAATTGATGAGAATATCCAAGACTGTAAAAAAAAAATCTTACAAAGTAGGCTACAGGATGAATAGGATATTTAAAATTTCCTCTAAAATAAGCATTCCTTCCTGATGGATGCCTTTCCTGGTCACAGTGTAATGGTTCTTCAATTTATCACTAGGACTTCACAATATGATGCAAAAAGAATATTCTATGAGAGGATGGCAGAGAAACCAATAAATGTGCAAGTTAGTAAAGCAATCATTTTCTAAATTATCCAAAAGTGTAGTAAATGTAGGGTGTTCAACTCTCCCTTAGATATTAATAATGCGTTTGACTCGCTAGAGTTTCAGAGTTTTAAATATATTTATACCATAGAGGGGGGAAAAAACCTCAAACGTATCTTTTTTGTTGTTGTTGACTATTAAGGTCTGATAGTCAATTTACAAGCACAGAAGCCATTTCCATTGCTTTCTTTCATTGAAAGGAGCCAAAAAATCCTATACCATATAAACTAGGATACTTGGAATCTAGTTTTGGTTGTGCAGTTGACTCAGGGTGCATCCTTCATCAAGGTGTTTGACTGTGCTTGAACACTGCCAGTAAGAATAAATCCAGTGGATTTTGTGAAAATCTTATCTTGAAGTAATTTACTCTAAGGCAAAATTATTTTTCTTTGTTTGCCATCTTACTATTCTGACACGGCAAAGCAAATCTTGGTTCCACTCTTGAATAAATGTCTCCTTGGTAAATCAGAACAGCAACTATAAACTCATCATCAAAGTACTGAACAGGACTTTGGGTGGAGGGTTTGTGGGGATTTGATGGCTGTAAGCTTTGTAGCAAGTGGCCTGCAGTCTCCCGGCTGGTTCATTTCTTGAGACCAAAGTCTCAAAGACTAAGAGTTTTATGATTGCTGCCTGAAACTAGTTTTTCCCCTCATACTTTGAATTAATTTGTTTGTTCACACTCCATTACCATAAACGATGACCCATAACCTTTTATAAATGTATTCTAAGTTATGTTGCTTTAGGGAATGATTATTTATTTACCAAGAATTTTATGTGTGCATTAAGGATTCAGGAAAAGTAAAATAAAGTATGTTTAAAAAATGAAAAGAAAGACCATTTGATAAAAGATTATCCCTACCCCAATTTTGACAAACTAATGAATCTTCAATCACATGCAGTTTAAAGGGCAATGAGCTCCTGATGATGAAAGATTATTTTATTTAATATATAATGTGATTTTCCAGAATCCAGAAAATCATTAGATACCTTTATAGCTATTATCAAAGCAGAGGAAAATAAATATATTTCCTCTATAATTTCCAACTAGATACTATCAGTTACTTATACCTTTATGTCTATTATCAAAGCAGGGGAAAAGAAATGCTCTTTAAGTTCTAACAAGAAAATATTTGCCACTTATACAT